TATTTAAGATGCTAGTACTTACTCTACACGTCTTCGTTTGTATATACAGGTAGTAATTAATCTCAGACTCAAAATCAGAGGCCACAGCTTAAGATCAGGCTCTAAGCTGATAGTAGGAGACTTGAACAAAACATCTGACTGATGGCAGGATATTCTGTCATAGGTACCCCACAACGTAAGGGAAGTGGGCAGGGCTATTTAAAAGAAAACAAAACCCCCATCCCCTCCCACCCAGCCACTGGTGCGCTCAGCCAACAGGATTTGACCTCTCTGCTAATCAACTTGGTCTCTCCACACCTTCACTGCTGTTAACAGCTATTCCATGGCTTTCTCCTCTTTCTGGAGGCAGAAATCAAAGTCCTTCCTTTAAGCAGACTTTCAGCTGAGTATACAGCAATTGATTTCTACTATAAATTTTATTATAGCAAGTAGTTATACCAATGCATTTTATTGAATTTAACCATTACACTATAGATGCTATCTGTGATAGACATATGTAATTGTCTAAATTGTTTACATGCTATCGATAACTGATGAATAAATACTGGAAGCGAACATAAAATGTTCAAACCAGCATGGGTGGATTTTGTCCAGAGAGCTACTACTGTTAGTTTCATACTTTCATTTTAGAGATTCTTGTATCAGCAAGTTACATAAATGGAAGGACAGATCTTTAAATAGCCTGTATTATCATGGTCCCATAAAAGCTAGATAAAATTAGACTAAGACCACTGCAAGTTTTGGTTCAAGGTCTTGCATAATTTTAATTTATTTCTTGTTTACTCTTTTTTTTTTTTCTTTTTTAAATTCATGTTATTGATAGCACAAGAAATGAGAACGATTTCCCCGCCCTGATTTAGTCAGACTTAGCAAGCATTAGCTGTTTCAAACAAAAATACAGTCAATGTACCATTTCTCATTAGTAAAGCAGTTACCAGTTATCACCCAACAGGTGTTAATTCCAGTTCATGTAACCCTCCTATTTCTACATTGATCTGCCCTCAAGCAGCATGAAACATCTAAACTGAACTGACCTTAACTTATTCAAAGATCATTTTCTTTCTGATAAAACGGAAATCCTTATCAAAGAGACACCAGAACTTACATGTGTGAACCAGAAGAGTGCACTACTAGCTCAGGCAAAACATAATTTGAACATGAAATTTTAATCTTTCATTAAAAATTGAAATGCAACATCTATATTTAAACAACTTTATTAACATAGTCAAGCAGTGATTAACATTCACATCTATTATGTCACATCATACAAATGTAAATACAAAATTACTACAGTACAATATATATTCTCTGCATGATCCAAAATATTTGGTGGCCCCAAAAACTCTTTAAAATTCAGCAGCTTATCAAAAATTAAAACCATATTCTATTTAAAATGAAGTTCTGTTAGCACATAGGCAGACTTTAAGAAATATCACTCAATTTAGTACAGTTTGAGAGGTTGCAGGAGGATATGTTTGAAGGAAACATTCCAACATTGTGGCAGATACAGAAACATCAGATTTAAAGCTTTCAAGCAAAACTCATACAACCTAAGTTGTCAGCAGAAAGATCAGTCATCTTTCATTTTAAACTATTTTGTATACTGCATCCAATTTAAAATTTTAGAAGTGTCTAGTATTAGTAACTCAGACAATGTACAACGTAACTACATATCTCTTCCCATTAAAAAAAGATAACATTACACTAGAGATTTCAACAGCCAAATGAACCTGCTTATACCCATCTTTTTTTCTAATCGCTGTCCTCGCAAAAAACACCCAGGCCTTCTCAATTTTCTTGCTCACCCAAAGTAAGGAAATAGATACCTAAGGCGAAAGTAGCACGATAGAACCAGCTTACAGAAAAATGATACTATACCGTAAGCACCGAATTCGAGATGTGGATTTGGCTTACTTAAAGTATACTGTAACACCACACAGGGATTCATCTTATAGAGCCATTTTAAACTTCCCTCATATAAGTACATTCAAGTGAGTAAGTATCCTTTTTACAGAATATACTCTACAAGGCAAGCAACAAGAGTGCTTGCCTCAGTTTCCCCATTTAAAATAATAATCTAAAACTGGCTTGCTCGAACCATTAAGTGCAAAGAGCAAGCGTCAGTGGCAGACATAAAACATTTTCTACTGGAGAATATCACCTAGAAGACTGATAGATGCAAGTCATTCTGGAGAATGCATAGGTGAGTGAAATACACAGCTACTGATCAAGCTTTATTTATTCAAGATGAGATTACTGGAAATACTTATGTAATATATAACAAATATGTATGCAAACTACATCAGTGTCTATCTGAGATAACTGCAGGATGTTTTGCCATTTCGCTGTAGAGCTTAACCTTTATCTAAGATAAAAAGTTACTCTTTAGACCCTATATAGAAGCTTTATGTGTGCATCATCCTCATGAAGGAGATAGTATTGAAGCAATTAGTGTTAAATTGCAACTTCCTTCCTTGACAAAAGATGAAATTTTTTTTTTTCTAATACAATACATTATTTAAAGCATTTTTCAAGAAATATTTAATTTGTTTGAATATGGATGCATTCTCCTCAAGGGAAGAACGTTTTTGCACCTTATCTGTTAATACATTCAATATGAATAAAACAGGTGAAGCAGAAGTCATTATTGTCCCACAGTAGAAGGTTAATTTAAAGTTTAAGACAGAGGAGCTGCCTAAATGAAATACATAAACTGATATAACTAAGACACATTTTATTAGCATGTGTTCTGAACAAAAAGGGTACAAGAGTATTCACCTGAGATAAAGCTAGTATTTGAATATTTTTAAGTAGCAATGAGTTTCACTTGAGGAAAGCCACTTGAAGTTTTAAAATATACATTTTACTATTATACAATATATGCAGTTTAAGTAATTAAGATTGATGCTAACATAAAAGTCCTAACAAAAAAAAAAAAATCAATCACAGTGTGTATCAATATTGTTAGTTACAAAATTTATGCTACTTCATAACTTTTAAAAATTATAATGATTATAAATTTTAAACCCATTCTTCTAAAAGTGATACTTTAAGTACAAGCTTGAAGGAGCAATAAACTAAAGCATAAGAATTAGCTTATTAAAATTTAAGTATATACATATTCACTGATTTAGAAAATAATCAAGCTTTGGAAAAAATTTACAAAATTGATTATTTTCGCTTGCACTTGTTAAAAATAATGAACTATTCTAATCTTTTCCCCTAAATGAAATGAGCTGTTTCCTGAATGTGTAAAGAAAAAAGTTAGTATTGAACTTCACTTAAGACTAATTTAACAGCAATTTAGAACTGCCAAAAAGATGGATTTATAAGGATTTTAAATACACTTTCTGTTACCAACTTAGGTTGATCAGCAGCTTTTGTTCACTCTCAGAATCCTTCAAAAAGGGAAACTCAAAACAGGAAAAAGGCATATATAAAAACAGTAAACACTGACCTCCTGAGGTTCCTACAACAAAAATATTCAAGTAGAAAATCTACACCATTACTTAGCAGCGGCTATTTCTGTAGTTTAGCACACTAACAGCACTTTATTCAGTGTGTAAGGAGCAAATGAAGTAAGCCGTGCTTTTAGCATGCCAAGAGGCAGAAACACTGGAATGTAACAAAGACAAACTAACAATTCTACCAATATAAACATTCAGTCAACATTCAAGAACTGTCAAGACTACACCACAAGAATTAAGATGCTTTTTATATATCCCATGATGCAATAATTAAGTTATAAATGTTAATGCTGATTCAGAACTTTTCTTACCTCACATTATACCCTACATGGCTTCTGCAAATCTCTGCGCTATATGATGCATTAGGAATATGGTTTATTTGCTTTAAAATGTACCATGAGAAAACTTACTGATACAAAAGACTATTTCATCAGCACTGTTTATTCCTGCCTTATTTTATTTTCCTTGCTGTTATACCAGATCACATCTGTACAAATACCTATTAAACACGTACGTACAAAAGTGGCATCCTAAGCTAATCCGAGGTGAGGTGGAGTGGTTTTATTTGGTTAAAGGGGCTTCCTTGAAATTTAAGTTTAGTTAAACTCTGATTCTAGCTGTTATGCTACAGTATTTTTAGGGTAGGTTTTCTATTCTACAAATTTTTAAATGTTATTTCTCTGAAACTCTTCTCTAATATTCAAACACACTTAAAATTAAAGCAAGTTTGGTTCTAAAATAATATCCCACCTTGCTAAATTTTAAAGGTTTGGGTTTTTTCCCTTCCAGAATTTGGTTTTAAAGTGTTCGTAATGACTATTACTAATGTAATTCACAGTAATTAGTTAAGAAGAAATTTTGTATTTGCTACCAAAGCAATGTAATTTGAAAGCAAGTTATCACATGCAATTTTGACCAAATTGAATAAATACTATGTACTAGCATTACTGAATGTACTTCATACAATACATGTCCAAACCATTCTTCAGGCATAATCCATTAAAATTTTCAAAGCCAAAAAAAAGGGGGTGGGGGGCATGTAAAACACGCATGCTATCATGCATAAAAAAAAAAAAAAATCAAAACTCTTTAAACAGCATTTATAAGTCGACACTCACACAGCTCAAACTTCAGTGCAATGGCTAAATCATTCAACAGTCAAAGAACAGAACCATGCAAAGAAGAGCAAGTTCTTAAAAAAAAAAACAAACCCAACCAAACAAATAAACCCCAAAACTGTTATCCAGTATCCATTCTGCAACGCAAAGGTGAGAAGCTAAATCTACAAAAAGGCTGTTATGGCTTAATTTTGTTTTGCAGATTAATTATGCAGCACTTGAAAAATGGAAAGGTGTGGCTTCACCTCTGACCAGCAGAGTTAAAAATCTCTCCATTTTCCTTTATCATCATGGGATACTCTTTAGGCAATCTAAATTATTAAAGACTTGCCACTTTCAGATGGACACAAGATCAAGTGTACCAGTTAGGATTTCACATTCACAGTACATAAGAAAATACACATGGAAGGAAAAGTAAAGGGTTAACTTAACAAGGATTTATTCACAGGAATACATGTAAGTAGAGAAAAAAAAACACAACAGAAAAGCTAAACAAATGAAATGAAGAGGATCCAAACCAACTTTCACTCTGTAGCTTTAAACTTGCACCCTTGTGCCTTTAACTACATCACAAAGGGCCACCAACATGCGCCGATACAGTGTAGATACCCTGCATTACATCCATTAACTTAAACATCTCTTTAAGATCATGCTTTGAACAAAAAGAATGCGCAGAAGGTAATATGTTGAGTGGGAATAAACACAAATATAGCAATCATGTCATCAACTTCTACAATTGTCTTTACGTGCCAACTAACATTTATGCAGCCTTTAACAGGTCTTACCACGTAGCTCATTTTTAGATTCTGATAAAATCACTAGTATATAACCATGCAGAAAGCACATCACACTGACAGCACAGAGGCAAATATTTTGCACAGCTATATCAGCTTTCCACATTGTGCAGGTTACACACAATACAATATCAATCTTATTCTTAACAGATCCTAAAAAGGTATTTCAAGGCCTAATTGTTAACTACAGTACTTTATATCTATATTCTTAACAAAAAGAAAATCCACAGAATCTTCAAAAGGAATTTTAAATGCAGGGCTATATTGAATTGGTAAACTGCAACACAAAACTGGCGCAACATAGGTAAATGTATACCAATTTCACTCTATGTGATGCAAGCATGCTACTTTCCCACTAATTTAAATTATTTCTGATCACTATGAGCCAGAATGCATGCCTGAACTTTAAACTGCACGTTAAGAATAATGCCTTACTCTAGAAATTAAATCTAATGAGTATAATAATCAAATCATGTCCACTACTTTAATTCTTTTTTTAATGTAAAAATTAAGATGTCAATCTTTCCTTTGAAGTGTCCCTCCCCTTACCCCAAAAATGAAAGGAGTGACTCATTTGGCAGCTTGCAGGTTGCTTCATTTTGTCCAAGCTAACCTTTATTAATTTACGATGGGGTTTCTATACTGTACTGCAAATGCCTGCTCCTAATACGGACACAAGCTGCATTTTAACTGTACTAAATTAATTTATGTAGTTCTTCATTAACATGCAAATACCTAGGACTCCCATCAAGCAGGATGAAATAATGTAGAAAACCCTTACTTAAAAAAACATGAAAGAAAAAAGAAAGCCTTTTACTGTTTGTGACCCCCATTCTTAGGTTTCCTTTATTGTGCGCAAAATAGTTTTCTTCTTTACGTATCCCTATGGTTCAATTATATGGTTCTTATTTTGGTACAATTCCCCATAATATTCCAGAATGTGCTGTTTTATGACTAGATTATTTTTTTTTAATTTATTTTTTTTTCTTCTTCACATCCAGTGCAGAGTTGTAATAGAAGACAGATTTCCACCCACAAAGGCTCCAGATGTTAAAACATTTCCCAACATCGACTTAATACAGTGACGGCAACACCTCCCTCCCGCCCCTCCCAGTAGGGTTGGGATTGTACTGTATTCCCTACTGGTTTACCCTTCCCCCCAGTAAAGGGTAACATTTTCCCTGGGTGCAGAGGCTCCCTCATAGTCTCCCAGACTGAAGGACCTGTAAAAGGGAAAGATAAAGGTATAATTACATTTTAACTTGAACCTTAACTGACAGATCTGTAATAGACAAAGTGCTTTTCTGCCTTTTTTAAGCAGTAGGTGCCAATCTTTAACTTAAAAACGTATTTACATTTAGATTTTCCCTTGTAAGTCGGTTAAGTAAATGGCACATTTATATCATGTAAATTATTATTCATGGAACAACAACGTATGCTTTAAAGCTACATTGACAGTTCCGCTATTGTAGCTAAGCTAAGACATAAGATAAAAGCAGTCCTATATAATCTAACAAGCTCTTCCATTTATCAGCACAAAATTATGAGGTAGTTATGACATTGAGAATAAATATGAAACATATCCGCTACTGACCTAACAACTTCACTTTCAGGTGGATTAAGCAAGATAGCCATAGCATTTTCTTAGTTCAAGCTGAGAATAACGGTGAATTTTATTACTTTGGATTCCTCTTCATTAGAAGAGGAAAACCCCCTTAAGTCAGAACTAAAATGCCCTCATTGATAAATATGCAAATGCTTGAAATTAGTTTATATTTAATCCATTGTTCAGATCAAACATGTAAGTCAACCAGGATTTCTTATGTCAATGACTGAAAAAAATCTCAAGCTGACTTTTAAATAGTTGTCCATTCAACAATAAAACAGAATTGTATCATTCACTCCCATAATTTCAGTATGAAAATTCTATGGCAAGTATCAAATTTATATAAAGACTGACTGAATAAACTTAATTCACCCTCTTTTTTAGGCAGTATTACAAACTCTTCATAGTATCACACTATTTCACACATGGGAAATTTGCTCTATACAGTGTGCACAGATAGCATACAAAGCAAGGTGGTATAATACCATAACTATTCTAGTTACTAGATAGCATGCGCTATCTCTAATATTCTATTTCTAGATTATATAGATATTCTATTATAGATAGCATGTGCTATCACTGTTCTTTGCTGAAGCTGAATCATTCTCTGCACAGAACTGTAACAATTCTGAATAGGTGCACAAAAATGGAACATGGCAATAATAAACATGTCAGCCTCCCCAAGCTCTACAGTTACAGCAGAGTTACAGGTTAGCATGACATCCTTCATTCAGTGCAAAGATTATCTAGTATGTGGTTAGAAGTATATTGGACTTCTCAGGGCTAAAGTGGACTAACAAACTTGCTTTCCTATCTTAGAGGAATATTCCTGCTTAGACTACATCTGCTATCTACTAATTCATAAGACTAATTCATAGGGGAGCCTGTGTCTTTAGTATGATGGCTTGAGCATCACATTCATCACTTTGCTTATTAAACTTGAACCGGCACTTTGTTATACCTACACTTCCAGTCTTATCTTGATACACTACCATGTGTATCATACACACACATTTTCTTTCTTTCTCTCTCTCTGTAAAAATAAAATAACAGAGTCAGACAACTGCTTTTGCCACAGCTACTATCATTTAGGTATATTATCATCCCCTTTTTTTTTCCTTCTTATAGGAAATCTCAAAAATTCTAGTCTGATAAATTAGTTATGTTTTATATAATGCAAGCAGGGAGAGAGTCTGTTATACAACTCTGTTTAGCACTGAAAATTTGTGTATTTACCTCTAATTATGGGACTGCAGCTATAGTGCATGAGGTTAAACTCCATAGTAAGCTGCAAGGCGCTCTTTTAAGGGAAGAGGAAACTGGTCAGAGAAACGCCTCCAATTCTCATCCCCAACTTGATTTTTAAATCCATGAAGAATCTACAAATGAGAGGGGAGAAGTCAAGACAATCACTAAACAGAGGATACATTATTTACTAGCAACAAATGCAGTAAGACACAAACTGCTGGATGGCACATCTGTCCATTTCAATTCTCCAATTCAATATTGAACTGCTACTAAGAAATTTTCTTTTAAGGGTCACATATAGAATATAGCTACCCACACAAATTAGTGTGTATATACATATCTATATGTATTTTAACAAGTTAGTGACTTACAACCTAGAATTAGGCCATTTCAGAATGCTAAGCATTTTACCAATTGACACAGTTTATATATGTTATGATTACTGTAGTCACATTTTTTTTTTAATGTGTAATATGTTGTGGGAAGAAAGCTGAGCCAAAACTGTAGCCAGCATTTGACAGAATCAATACCTATCAATTTCTAGCACAAATACAAAAGCATCCTGTGAGAGCTGTTTTTTCCACGGAACCTGTAAGACAACCGTCACTAAAAAGGAAGCTGTTAAAACCATGTGTGTTTTGAAAGAATAGGGATCCACAGTCAGTGTCAGTCAAAAGCCAGCTAAAGAGAAAAAAAAAAATCTACACATTTCAGTCTGGTACTTCCAACGTAATACATCAGTTGAAAACTATGAAAAATAAATAATATCATCAAAGAGGTCTTAGTATGTCAGCTCTGAAAACAGCAGGTTAAAAGGCAAACATCAGAAAGAACAAAAGCAGATGAAATGGCTCCTCCTCATAGAAAATTACACTAAGAGAGTCTAAAGTTTTGTATTTCTTTTTTAAAATCAAACAGAATAGTCTGTCATGAACACATCCTCACAGAAAAGGCAACGTCAACATTAAAGCTCATGGTATTGAGTTCACCCTCAACACAATGTTCTTAAGCAGAGCTCTTCTTAAATAGGATGTAGTGATAAAGCTATTAGTGCCACCAGTTAACTAATTTCTCCCTGAAAGAGATCTTCCACAAGAAGGCTCACCTCTCTTTCCTAATCCAAAGAGTCAGATTAGCCAGCTGCCAAGAAACTACTGAAAATCTAAGAAACTTCAGGTATGACAAAAGGAACACTTTTAAAATCATCTTCCAGTTGAGTTTTAGCAAGTGAGCTTCAGCTACAGTCTTCAGATACCTTGCTTTTATAAAAAGTGATAAAATTCTCAGGGTATGTGTCAGATTTCAACACTGGCAGTTGATCTACTCATGCTCTTGGTAGTGCTTTTTTCCCTCTTTCACCTCTAGTGCTAAAAACCAAAACACTGGACAATCCAGGTTTTTTTCCATTGTTCCTGAAAGGCATAATTATTGTTGGAAGAACGTCTAACTGGATTACAGCAATCATGTATTCATGAGGAAGTAATCTAAAAAAACATGTATGCCATCACTTGAAGAAAGCTTTGTCTCCTCCTTTCTTGCATGGCAAAAAGCACAAAAGAACACACTTTAAAAAGCAATGATGTCCTTATGCCAAGTGACGAAGAACTATTGTGTCTAGTTTGAATGCATTAGATCCTGCACAGATAACTTGGAAAGAATCTGAAAAAGATGATCCTGACTTACTGAAGCAAGTATTCAATGCTGAAGGACCAGTGTAGAAACACGCACTGAGACTGCTTTGGGCAATCATCACAGACAGCATCCTGGGCTTTCTCCTAGGCATATAAGTATTTGCTGTTTCTTCTGCCGATGCTAGAATACTCACAGCTGTGCATTTCCTGGACCTGATATTCCTTCAAAGAAGACCAGTTATCCGAGAGGCTAACTAGGACAGTTAGATTTCTGTCTTTGCTCTTCAAGACAGGATAAAAAAGTTGCAGTGTCTGTTCCAACGTTCACACATGATGTTACGTGAAGAAAAAGTGCCAATACTGAACCATGATCCTAGTAAGTAGTTAGGAATATGCTCCATTTTTGCTTTAAGAGGAGTATCATTAACTTTTGACATACAACCTTCCCAAAACCAGAGATTTCACTTTACAACTTACGAGGAGTGCCAAAACACAATATATCACATTCTGGGTGGGCTTTTTTTTGCTTATTTTACACAGGTAAACAGTCCTTCTGCTTAAATTCTATTGACACTTTGTCTAGGCATGTATTCTTGAGTATCACTGTAGATAATTTTCTTGAAACTTGTTCATTCAAGACGGATTCTGAGGAAGTTTACTCAATCCTGAAAACTTATTTTCAGCTTTTAGCAGGATTAAGAAACAGAATCAGGATACCAGTAGAATATTTTTGATTTGCAATTTTCTAGGTATTTCTCCAAAATAAAGTAGGCATTTTCGTGGCAAAAAAAGTCTGGAATGATACAAATCTGATTTTCTAGGAAAAAAAAAAAAGTCTTAAATGTGGTAAACCCTCCCTTTTCTTCCAAATGCAGGCAAAACATAGTAGGCTAGACATTATGAAAAGCTCTTTGAGGATGATTATCCCTTCAAATAAGATCTCAAGTGAACTTTTCAATACTGTATAAAAAAGTCTGGAATAACCCAAATGCACATAAGAAAATATGGGTTAAGAAAAAGAATCAGGAATTTTATGTTGTTTTGTCTGAAAATGTATGTCCTTCCAAAGAAGCTACCATGACCACAAATACAGTAAGTGCTAACAGTGGAAAGAGAAAGTAAGAAAAAACCAAGAGGTTCCAAAACAACTGCTGTTATGATATACTGTTATATTAGAAACCTTACCTTACAGAACATGTCTCGGAGATCATCTTTTGGGCTAATCCACGATGCAACAGCATCACAAAAAAAAATAAAGTCCTATAAGATTAAACAATCACATAGGTTAGAAACAATTTATAGGTCTGAAAACACTTGATGTTCATTTATTCTATGAGCCATGCAGGGTCTTCGATCCTAATTCTCAATTGCTTTTGTTTTTAATGAGTTTATTTTCCAGTTAATTCAGACAATAATGGTAAATTTCTGTACCCTTCGGTGTTCAGAAATAGAAATAGCTGAGAGTAGGAATAGCTTTGTTTAATAAGGTTTTTTATTAAATAAAACCACAGTTAAAAAAAAAAAAATCCAACTCTCCCCTCCCACAGCACGCTTTCCTAATGTTAATTTTTTCAGTATACATACCAAGTTCAAGAACCAATCACATTAATAACAAGCAACAAACTCAAGACCACAGTCACAACAATCTCTTTCTCATGCATTTCCAGTTGGGGAAAAAAACCTGTTGCATTTCTTTAAGCACAGCCAGAATTTTTTTCTGAGGTGCACAGAATGTTTATCATACAGGTTCAAAACTAAAGCCACCCCAAAAATCCCTACACTTAGGTCACCTGCTGTCATGTATACCTCCTACTACAGCATTAAAACAGCAGTCTTTAATCATTAACAACTACAGAGAAAGAGAGCTAGGATAATGAAAAGAGTCCTTAATTATCCCCTCTCCTTAAGCTATGTGAAAGAACAAATGCACAGCAGAGGACGGTAATGCTAAGTACAGCATAAAGCATAAGGGAAACGAACCGAAAGTTTCAAAACAAGGTAGAGGCTCAATTCTTGTGTTTCAAGAAGAATTCCAGGCAGGGGAATGGGAAAAATCACCTTCATTTTCCTCTTACAAAATACTACAGTGATACAGCTTTACTTGGGACATGTGGAGACTAAAGAGCAAGTCACATTCTATTCTTCAGATGTACCATTTATTTTAGAGATGCATGTTCCTCATCACAGTGACTAAGCAATATATCCAAAGTTGAAACAGAATCTTCCCTACCCAAGTTTTAAGAATGAAGAGGTGGTTACTGATTTTTGTTCCATTTCTTGCTTTAAAAGCCTAGGTTACATCTGGAAAATAGGTTTAAGTATGTCACCTTTTGCCTTATATTTTCATACAGATCCTGAGCACAACCTTACATAAGTATCAAAATACAGTTATGTTCTTCGTAAGTAAAAGACAAAACCTAAATTTAACAATACTCTTCACCTTTACTAGGTGATAATTACTGAAGCATCATGATATGTATCATTCACAATATAAGTATTTTGTCCTTCTTGACCTCAAAATAAAGCTATGTCACATATTGCAGGGAACCACATCAAGCTACACTTTTTCATACTCCATATACAGCTTTCACTAAATTTCACACGAGTAAAGAAAAGAAGTTAAGATCTATTCATGTATCTTACTTGGACTACTCCACTGGGGTTGACCGTGATCATGGTACATATCCCACGAAATGCTGAATCCTTTTCCTCATTGTCTCTTATGTTTCGCAGAGAGGTGCACCTAGCAATTTGGAAAGCAAAACTTAGGTAACTCCATTACTTTTTCTTCAATCAAGTCAGAACTATATGACAGTATTTGATGGAATAAGTCACACTGATAAGATGATCTGAAACGCTATTTTAGAAAAACATTTGTTGAGCACAGTGTTTACTAGCATAGCCCCATTAAGCATCATCTCCAGAATCTTGTTCTCCTGTTGTACTATATAGAGTTCGAAAGTGTGACCTGTATTCCATTAAATACAAAAGAAACATGTAGCTGATATATTTATAGAAACTATCATTATTAGAAGCGGAACATATAATACTATCACAGTATGAATTATGTCAGATACCACTTACAGAACAATTATTTAACTTTTACAGCAGCAAGCAAGCTATTTTATACGTAACAAATCTATAAACATATACTCCTTACAGCAATTCAAGCCTCAGACTGAATTTTAAGTAATGCACGGTTTAAATTTTACAGTATTTGCATGCATTGTATTATCATTCTGGTGGATTTTAAAATGCTCTTTCATAGTCAAGCTTTAACACAGCAAGCATGTGACAATCTTATCCCATGCATAAATTAGTCGTTAGCCACAACATAAAGAATACATGACGGCGCTACTAAAAACTCACAAACCTGATAGGACAAGATTAGTCACATGGTTGGCAATGATTAAGGATTGAGATTTTGTAACCAACTGAAAATATATCTAAAAGTGAGATAGAGAGAAGAAAGAAAGAAAGAGAGTGAAGAAAAATGAATTAAAAAAAAAAGATTGAATAATACACACCAGGGTCTTATAAACTGCTGTAGCATGGGGGCCACCTCTTGAGGACAAACGTAACCAAGACGACCAATTGTTATTGCTAAGGTAACGCAATCACGGTTATACACCACCAAACGCCAACCAAGACATGAGCAAATGAGGGGGGAGGAGAAAAAATAAAGAAAAAACAACAAATAACTCAGAAACAGAAACCAACAGAATCTGTGTATGATAATAAACATAAGATTTCACCAGTGCTGTTTATTACCACCCCCTAAATAAGAGGCAGCAACATATATGGTATACTCTCCAGGGTAAAAGAAAAATTAAAGAAGTAAATGAGAGAACACCAAAAACACAATTTAAAAACCAAAGGCTTTCTAAGCAAGCAGTTATTCTGCCCTCTTCAGAGTAATTTCTTACAGTAAATTTACCTACCATACATTTTGAAGTTTTTATTCAAATGTACTATTATGGATACTCTTGATAAAAAGGAATTCACCATTTTCAATTTTAATATCAAGTATTCTAAACATTTTATTTTTTTCAGTATTTAGAATTCAAGATTTTAATAGATCTACTCTATCAATAACAATACATTTATAAATACTTTTACATGGAAAAATACCGTGGTCTATCTAAAACCACTAAATAGATTAAACATTTCTCCAAGAGCACCAAATATTTGCCTTCTTCATAATTTCATAGAAAATTTCATTTAAAGTGGTTGCTAACTCACAGCAACTGACTGCAGAAAATTAATTCTTTAATTCAAATATTTTTCCTGTTCACAAAACGCTTCCTCATAGAAGCTGTATAAGAATCTCACTGCTGATACCAAGGCACAAGGACAGATGAAAGGCAAAATTACTTCATCACATATTTAGGTAGTTTGGTCCTTTGTTGCGAGGGACAGACTAAAGAAAATATCATCATGCAAATGTGTTTTAATGGTGTTTGCTCAACTCACGAAAGATTAATCTTTAGAAAAAGGAGAGGGTGGGGAATAATGCATCAGGATTACTTGAAGCAAAATACATGAATAATACTAAAATCCAGCAGATTTATATGAAGCAGAGAAAGGAAACCTATGTTCAAGGGACATACTATGCAACACTCTAATTAACAGGCATTTGTGAACAGTTTCATGAAACATGCAATAAAGCAGATGATGCTTTCTCCAGTAAGAGTTTGGTGTAGGATATACTAGCAGTTTAAAACATACTCATTCCATGAAAGCTGCAGCTTACTGGTAATGTACCCTTTTGCCCTAATGTTACCTGATTTCAATATGCAGTGACTAAAATTTTCAGTGGATCTAACTTACAAAACTGCATTTGAAGTGCTGCTTTCAAATGAAAATACACTTTTAATTTTTGTTTGTAAATTTTCACAGCTACAGTCTACCAGGAATAGTAATCTCTGTCAAAAGCTCAATTTTTTGGCATGTACTGGTTATTTTTTATGCAATTACTTTTATTTAAGGTGGTCTCATGTTTCCATAGAAGCGTTTTCATAGCTCATTACATTGGAAGCTAAAGCAGAAAACAGTAATATTCTTGCACATACTAGTGGCATGCAGCACAATATCCCACAACAAACTTACAATAAGTACACCACACTCAACATTTATTTGCAGTTATGCATCCACATTTAAAGTAACTATTAAGAGAATAAAAAAAAAAAAGAAGTCAGTGTTTGGATGCTTCCAAAAATTCTCTAACAGTGTGATGGAAGCAAACATTTAAGTACTGGATGCCTCTCAGTTACAGGTATTACACATCCATCAGTGCAGAGGAAATGGGTCAGGGCAGGGGTGGGGTGAAAGAAAATCTTTATTGCTATACAATTCAATGGTGTATTTCACAACAAGTAGGTATTTGCTCCAAAATTATCTTTTCAAAAAAATAGTACCTATAATCTGCCAGACAACTAGGTAACTTTCCCTTCAAGCTCACCTTCCATACTAAACAGGGTGAGAAGGAGTGGGGCAGAGAAAGTGCAGCTTTTCAGTTTAGAGAATACTGGAGGAAAAATATGCATTGAAAAATCTCTCCAACTTATCTCTTGCTTAGCTCAAAAGAAATACAACTGTAACACTGAATTTGCATCATTTTCAATCATGTCAGGTATAATGACTAAACCGTCATTTTCTTACAGGACAGTTTTCAAAAGAGAAAAAAGAAGAATAATAATCTCAATTAGTATAATAGCAAACCAGAAACTTGTCAAATTATTAATGAAGTTTTGCTGAAGTATGGAAGGTGCTCTTCGTACCAGAACGTGCCCTCTATAAATGCAAAAGAAACAAGCCTCAGAAATTTTGATTCAGTAAGGCATTTGGGGATTATCCCAATTTGGAAGGCAAAGCTGTGGGCCAGAACATAAAACATGCATGCCATTGTAGCATTCTTTTCAGAAATTTGTTATTAAGTGACCAAGTAATAGAAGTTACACACAACGGTTATGCTGTGGTAAAACTGCCATCACAGATCTAGATTTTTGTGCATGATGTTACAAGTTTATCTAAAAAGAGTGCATTTTTTGTAAATTCAAAGAATTAACTATTTGTTTTATATATGCCAATTACATTTGTTTCAAACACTAGACATATATATACAGTACACATGTAAAGACATGCATATATTAAAATCAGGTGAACTAAGTCTTTAAGTGTTACTGCATACATTTGTCATATTCAATACATAAATAAAACTGAAAGAATACTTAATTAAACAGATGATAAATAAATACAATAAATGTTACAGAAGTGAGAAAGCAATAACTTTAAGAATCTAGATATATGATAGATGGTTTGGAAGACTGAGACTTGTAAAAGCTTCTGCAAAACAGAGTTGCTTTTGCTTATAAAAGCCAAATACATAGCAATAAAATCAGTTCTGGTGTGGTTCCCTTATGCAATTTTAAAAATTGTTATAAAAAATCCCTAATTCCCTTCACCATGTATGGTTCAGTTTTTGGGTACCTGTGTTCTCTAACAACGTCTTTGGTGTGTTGGGTCTGTTAATTATTTCTACAAGCTGGTGCAACACCATTGGAATATAAGGCTGCATCTCTATACCTGAAACAGCCAAAAAAAAAAAAAAAAAGATTCAGAAGAAAATGAAGATTAATATACAAAATCTAAAGAGATATGGTACATTGAACTTACTAACAAGGTTAAGAATCTCAAATTTAATTAAAATTTTAAGATGAAAGTATCACAATAAATACACCCAAAATACCCAGACAAACGATGCTAAATGTGCAGGGATTCAAAGACAAAAATAAATCTTACCCATCTGGATGGAGATTTCTCCAATTGCCCAGGTGGCATTGTTACACACAGAAATGAATTCGGGGTTTAGGTTGGTTCCCAAAATTGGCATGAAATCAGCTAGAAAGAACAACATTTTAAAATCTCGTCACACAATACAACCATCTTGTCCCATTAGTCTAAGATCACGGGGGAAAGAAAAAGTTTAAAAAAAAAATCATGTAAGCCTATTTAAACATTTGGAAAGTGTTACACATGAATTAACAAGAGCTATATGTCTGCTATACATCAGATTAACCTAGATTTTAGAACCTAAGCAGATCAATGCAAATCTTTTCAAATTATGATTTCAAAAAGTTTCTAATAGGCTTTATCTTAATGTAACTATGGAAACCTTATTTTCTCACCTTCCCTTGCAGGAGTGAGGCAAGAGAAGGGAATAGGCGAGAAGAAAAAAACCCCCACAGCTATAAGTACTCATAGCTTTGTAATATAGTTGAACAACCCTCAGATCACCTAGCTATGTATCCAGCTATGCCTGAAAAAGCAATGAAGCCTAGAAGGCAATCACATCTTTGATTGACTTTTAAAGAAAAAATTAGTCACAAAGATAGATTATAACATCTGCAAATAAATTTTAAATTCCAAGCCTATCCAACCATTCATTTGGCAAGTTAAGTGTATCTCAAGCGTATGTGCGGGAAGAGACAGCGAGTATCACAGAAATGTATAACTGATGCTACTTCCCTATTGAAATTAAAAACAAACAAAAAACGAACCCAAAACCTACCCTCTAGCCAAGTTTTCTAACTTCACTAAATATATATAATTTTATGTAGCAGCAGATTCTAGTAGAACAAAAAAAAAAAGCCATAAATTCAAGAATTTATCAGAAGCAAGCAACTATTCTAACTGAAGTTGAAGTACATCTTTTGCTACCAGCACAACAGGTAGCTTGTTACATTACAAAAATCAAGGATAATTTGCACTGTCTACAAAAATAAGAAATGTCTTTTAAACACACAATTTGAAGAAGAAAAGACTACAGACCCTTGCTGATAAAGGAAAATGAAAAGTTACACCACCATGAAAAGGCAACCCACAGAATAGGGAGTGTAACAATGGCTAAGCCTCTTATCAGTTTTTAAAACAGTTGTTTAATACATAAAAGAAACATACCGATGCAAGGCTTAACATGCTGAAAACACGCCTTTGTCAGATCACCTAACAATGCAAAAGAACTCTGCCGTACCTCAGGCATTTTATCCTAAAGAGAGGAAGAAAAAAACGACAATTCTAGACTGTTTCTGATTCTCTTAAGAAAGAAAATCCCTGGATCAAACAGGTTACCCATCTCACCTGCATGCATTGGTACATTAGTGTCAGGATATTGCTGCGAGCCACTAGCTGTTCAATGTTGCCTCCAAGACCTTCAGCTAAACCACTGAGCAAATCAAGAGCCACAATCATGAAATCTTTATCTGGAGCCTCATATTGGTCTGGCTGAGCATTATGCAACTGCAAAAAATAAATATGCATTTTCAAAATGAGTATTACATTTTCTCAGGGGTATGCATGAAAATTTGATTCAGAATGCAGATTCATTTAGATATTCAATGGTTATACTACAAATCTCCCTGCAAACCCACAACTTTACATAGTTAATACATAGGTTTAAGGAGATACTCTGAAAACAATAGAAAAATACCATGGCTTGTGCAAGGGTCTTCTGCACCAGATTTACACAACGCTGGTACACAGGTTCACAGTATGGAAGAAAGCCAGATTGCAAGGCAGTAGCAACTGACGACAGGCACTGGAATTCAAAAAAAAAAAAAAAAAAAAAAAAAGAGAAAATAGTCACTACCTTTCCCCACATCACTCTCGAGTGCCTTTTCTTGGGAGAGGTAAATTAAAAGACACTAACATTTTAAGTATATCCACATGTAACTCACTAAGTAAACACAACCCAGAAAGGCAGTACTGATTAGCTGAGCCAAGGCAATAATCAGCAAGTTGTTACTCTCTCCGACATATGCCACTTCAGAAAATTTCTCAGCAGCATCATCTTAGAGGTAGCCAAGAAAGTGCATAGAAAAACAGTTACAGTAACTCAGCCAGCCAGTACTTACACTAAGTCTCAGTATCTGGACCATGTAGAGACTCTAACATCACCTAAGAATTATGAAACTAGTTTTTCTAGAGGTGCTTCATACTTGGAAAGTACAGAGAATAGTCTACATGGTCTGGTTCGCACCTTCAGCTTGTCTGACAATAGTTTTAGCGGAGGAGTAAAGGGAGAGCAAGGAGACAGAAGACAAGAATGAAAGGAAGATGGAACATTTTTTTAAATAAAAGAATCCCATCAAATCCCGAATAGCAGGAAAAAAAAAAAATCTAGAAGATTTCAGCTAAACCAAACAACATTTCCTCAGTCACAAAATTTTCTTACTATGGTCAGAATATTTTCTCCACAATGGGAAACACATAACACCGTCAGCTTTTATAGTTGTACTTCCTAGTAGAATCATCTTTAGTAGAAAGTGTAATTCCTAAAATGAGTTGATAATAATATTCAAATTTTAACATTTACCTCTAATAAAGGGAAGAGATCTTTATCTTCATCCTTCAACATGTTCCACTTCTGGATTAATGGTGGCATTAGCATCTGAATATATTCCTGTTTAGGATGAAAATGTATCAGCTGCTGAAAGACTTCGCTGCATACTATTTATTTCAAAGCTATAAAACCGATCTATTAAGAATCGACACATATTCTACTTTTTTATCACCCCCCCGACATACTGTAATTCAATCATTGTTGCAAAACGTAGAAGTAGATTAATATTAGAATTTACAGATTACAGAAGCACGCAAGCACCCTTGCAGAGTGAATCTTTTCCTCCAGGTTTGGTTTCAATCTAGCTGCCTGCATTGTTACAAATCTATATGATTGCCTCAGGGCATACAAAAGATGTTTTTACTAGCAATGCAGTCTGGGTGTGCATCTGCCACCTGCTTTTCTCAACCACTTCCCACTGCACTGGTGCTACAACCCTATCCTCCCAAGTTCCTGAAACTTCTTCCTCAAACAACTAACCATCCATGAAGAAAGTTATTTCCTACCCCTCCAGGATGACGCACTTAATAACCCTTCTGTAAAAACTGTTGCATTTGCCCTGCCACTGCACAGCCACAGTCACAAGGACATCGAGCAATGCATCCCTACAGTGCTGTTGCTCCCAGAAGTTATCTAAAGAGCCAAAAGATGCTGCCAGCTAATGCTATGTCCAGAGATACAAAATTCTAAGTGACTGAAGAAAGTCCCACCATCACCAGGAACTCCCATTTAGCTTCTTCCTGGTATTGTCAAATGTCAAGGTGGCCAGGGCCAGAAAGAGACTGAAAAGGAGGTCCTTTGATGGTGTGGGGTCTTGGATGGCCAGTAAAATGCCACGGAAACAACTAAAATTGTTTCATTCTACTGTATCTGTGTCATGTGAAGACTAGAGAGAAATAAAACAGATTTCAATAACCATCATAAGAAGATGCACACGTGACATGTATGCATATTCTATTAATTAATACATGTATACCGAAAAAGTCCTCACTGTATTCACCTGTGTTATCTGTGCTTTGTCTAAAGGATTCTCTGTTTTTATATATAAAATGAATGCCTGTCTCACTTGCTGATAAAGCAATTTCTAGTGATGATGTACTCCAATTCATTGGAAAGAGACACACAGAGCAGCTTAGCTGTCCTTGAAGTGGTTACAAAAAAAAAAAGTATGGTCACTAGAAATTAAAACACTCATTCCACCAATTTCTCTAAAGTCCCATTTCATATCTATATTGATATATGCATCTCCTCTGAGCTGAAAAATTGTGAGCAAGAGAAAAAAAAAAAATCACAATGAGAAGCACATTTCACAAGCCACCACACACAGAGTCGCTTATTCAAAATGGTGAATATTTGTGTAGTGGGAAAATTACATGTAGTCTATGTATTTTACCTGTAAATATTTAGTATTATTGAAACCTACACAGAAATACTAGCATTTCTGGTTTATAACATGCAAAGCATACTATAAAAATGCTGAACCAGTTTTTCAATTATGGTGATAGCTTCTACAGAAGATATGGTATACTTACTGGTTTATTTAGATGATGCCCTACAGAATCTGCCAAAGTTCCTATAGCATCATAAAGAATGAGCAGGTTTTTATGCTGGTATTTACTAAATGCGAAGACCAAAGTGTCAAGTATATATGCAAGATAAGGAACAAGTTCTGTACAAGCCTCCTCTTCTAGAGTAGCAAAGGCACTGAGGGACAAAAAAAAAAAAGGTGAGTTGGTATCTTGGAAAAAAAGAAAGAAAAAACCAAAACCGCAAGACAACCCCAAAATGCCCCACATTACCGATTTCTGTTTAAACATAGAACTGTATTCAGTTCTCAAATTCATCCAAGATATGTTTTCAAAATGGTATTACTGAGGTAACTTTGGTCTACTTCAATCATGTAAGGATTCAGCTCTTACACTGTGATGAACAAAATTTAAACATACTGCTGTAAACCCCACTACATATGCGCAGGAAGCCCCCACTGAGAGAAGCATTACTGTATACAAGTTACAAAATACTAACTGAAATAGCAGGAACCATAACAAAAGCTGTTTACTTAAGTTAAAAATGGCCCACTATCTTTAATGTATGGTGTAGCTGCACTTAGAAGCCCTAGTGCTGTTGTGCCAGCACACCACCAACATCAGCTTGTACTCTCAGCAGTTCACTACATAGAAGAATAGATACAGAAAGACATGGAAAACTAAAATCAAAGAGGGGGCATAAACAATTTTAGCCAGCCTTGGTCAAAGCACACATCACGGAAACTTTTCAGGTTGTTTGTCATTTGAACAACAGTATTAAAAAACCCAACCCATACCAATCCAAACAACACCCAACCCCCCACTCCCCGACACGCTGTTTCACAGAAACATTGAGGAAAAAAGCTACTGAAGATTCAGTGGCCTAGCTTGTGTCAACAAGATTATTATTAGCCTGTCCATATACTAAAAATGCATGCATCACTGCATGAGGTGAACAACCCCCTACTAGTGCGCTACCAAATACAGAAACACCTTTTTCTTAACACAGTGCAACTGTGAACACTAAATGGCCAGCATTCTCATTTATTTATTTATTATTTTATTATATTATTAGGCACATGATGTGAGTAGGAAAATGTGTTTCAGTGAAACACCTTTTTGGGTGTTACCAACTGAACAAGCAGTTTCTCAATAGCACAGAAATGAACGATACAATATCTGCTATGATGTAGAAGTTAGTGATGAAAACACACAGTATCCTATGACTGATTTTCAGTTTGGTAGATATTAACGATCTGTGCAACTATTCGCTGCAGGGATGCAGCTTTTTGCTCCTCTCCAAGGATCATTGTATTTTCTTGCAATTTAGAAAGCTAGTAAGTATGTTTTGACTTGTAACAGCTCTACTTTTTCCTTAAAGTGGAGTTTCCTGGACAGTTTGTGTTCTACCTGCAGCAGTAATTTTAATGAATCTCTGCTCTAAAGAAAGCATTTCAAAACATACTATAAATCTAGCACTGAACTTTAAAAAAAAAAATCAGGTGTATTAGTATTTTTAATATTTCCATTTTATCTCTTTCTTGCTACTTTAGCAGTTTCCATGGCCCACTGCACTTCCTTCATAAGTCCTACATGAGGTTATTTAACAACTGCAACACATCTGTGTTCAACTGCATGCAACTTCAACCATGTTTTGGACAAGGAAAGCATGAACAGAAGTGTGGCGGGTTGGTTTGTTGTTGGCTTTTTTGTTGTTGTTGTTGTGGTTTGTTTTGGTTTGGGTTTTTGCTGCTGCTATTAATAGAATCTGTACATAATCTAATTCCTTGGATTTGAAAATGCGTGAAGCAAATAGTCTTGTATCACCATTTTCCTGCTCGTACAGGAAGGAACAGAAGACATATCAGTATGAAAAGACAGAATGGAGCAGATGTTAAAGCCCAACAACTCTGTTCGCGCAATGTTTGAAAAGGTTTAGAGACAAAAAAATAATAATACTCAAATCTTACTAAGTACTTTTCATTAAATTCATTGTATCTGTTCTCAGGCAAGGATACATCTACCCTTTTCGGGCAAAGTTTAGCACAAAAACTTTAACCTCAGCCTTGTCCTTAGGCACTACTGGTACTTGCAGGTGGGGTGTTATAATAATAATAGTAATAACCATAACAACTTAAAAAAATCTGCACATTGCAAGTGTTAAGAATACAAACAGATGCAGATCTAACTGCTTTATGAAGAAACCTTCTTGGCAGTCTGCTGTGTACACTCCTGCCCCACACAAACTGACATGTAAAAGCTTTATTTGATGACCTTCCTGCACAAGAGGTGCACCCATTCCCATTCCACTAAGGGGGTGTGCATTAATGCAGATATTAATTAATTTTTTTTTAAGTTATCAGCAGACAAGGAGTAGAGGAGAATCTTATCTCCCAGGATTTTCCTTCAAGAGGAAGAGAATATCCCTTAAAATAATCATAATCCAAATGTTTTGGTAGTCCTGAGCTAAATATAAACAACATCAGTAATCAATGATAGGATAGTTTTCCATTGCAATCAGTACTGATCTTGTTCATAGGCATATTAAAAAAAGCCAGATTTCTGGTCAATGAAACATAATATATTGAAAATACGCAAGTGTCACAAACAGATAATTTCTTTTACAACGATAAATTACCTAGTTTGGTGATTCATATACTCTGAAAACAAACTGGACAAGACTTTTTTCATATTTTCCATGTTATTACAACTCGGTGTAATTTGTGACTACTCCAGAAGAAAGAAATACATTAAGAGCTAGAAACGGAATAATGCATTCACTGATAAAAGCATTAAAATAGTTTCCCATGAAAAAGCAGTGTCATGAACGGTGCTATTTGCTTAAGCTTTGGCTCACCTGCAGGCAGCTTCTTGTACTCTCTTGTTGCTATCCAGGATACGCTTTAGCAACTCAGTCATTAATGGCTTCAAGTATGTGTCTGGGGGTTGACTGACTACCCAGTGTGCATAGCGACTAAGAGTCCAGCATGTAATGGAGCGCACAAGAGCCTTTTTGTCAGAGAGGCACTGAATAAGGTGAGGGATCAGCTCAGGAAGATATGGAATCATACCCTGCATGCAGCCTAGAAGGAAAAATATCGCTATTGCAGTACCAGAATTAACAAAAAGTTCTATTGTTTTCTGCTTCCTAGAAGGGACTTATTTTCATTCTCTATGACATAGGAATACATTTTAACAATACAGAAAGCAAGTCTACCTCATTTATATTAAGTCCTAAAAAGAAACCTTCCATAAACAATAATTAAAATTCCCAATTAAAACTTAATTTCCCTACTTCAGTGCTTCCCCAATCTCCAGAAATTCTGCTTTATTAACTGGAATATGGCAAGTACATCTAAATAAAATGAGTTCACAAAGCTTGGAGGTCATATGTCAGTCTATTCAGAATAATCATGACAAGCAGAGAAAGACTCAGGCTTGACAACAAACAATGACATCATTAAAAAGGATTGCATAAGTAGTTCACATTTCCTCTTGTTTTCTCCTAATATCATACAAATACTGACCAGCAATAAAAACTACATATTTGAAATCAGCAAGGGCAGTAATACACTGAGATTTGCAGAAGTACTAACTTTTACCTTGCTTGACTTGAAATCAAAACCAACAAAAGTTTCCTAGTAACAAAGTATGTTCCCACTGTGGGAAAGGAAAGATAATCCAGCCACGGAGGCAAATGTATTCCTTCAGCTTGCAAAAGGGATAGAGATGCTGGAAATGCAGGCAAAATCTGAAGCAAGACTGTGAGTACAAAGGAATGGAAGATGTCATATTTAAATCGGAGAATGATCCACAAAAGCAACTCAGGGCACTGAAGTTACAGCAGTGGTCTTCTCCATTTCTGAAAACACTTGAATGAAATGTAACGCTCAAATTTATTAAATATTCTTCTACGAAATCAAGGTAGTATTTCATGAGAGACAAATAAATATATGTTGCAGAGTTAAGAAAGGGAGAAATAAAAGAAATTATTTAAGCTATTTATAGCCTCCCAAACATGCATAGATTTGAAAATGAAAAATGAAATAACTGCAGTCACCAATTAGTAGATGTAGAGATTACTCACTGAAACCAAATCAGCTAAGGATATACACTTATTTGCCTAAGTAAATTCATCTGGAAGGAATCACAGAGTTGCTTTAGAAACAATCAAAAATTCAGCAACCTGATAGGCATTGTTGCCTTACCTTCAGCAATTGCTCCAAGAACAAGGATACCAGATTCTTTAACTACCCATTCAGGATGGAAGAGCAACTCCTTCAAAAGGGGCAAGATGTGTGGCAGAAGTTCATCACGAAACACATTGGCTAGGACATCTAGAGCAGCAGCAGAACACTTCCCTGAGAGGAATGAACAGTGTTAATCTCCGCTTATTATACAAGTAGTTGTAGTTAGGCAACATAATCCTCATTTTAACTTCAAGCTGCCAGTGGAGTCTCAGGGCAGTAGGAGGAAAGACACTTCCATTTCATTACAATACATGGTGATTCACTGATGCTCTGATGCAAAACCACAGCTCTTAGAAAGCCAGTTTTGAAGCATTTAAACAGCCACTAAAAGGACTTATACACTGGGGATATTAAAACACATGCTGACAGGAATGACACCATTATATTTGAACATTATACACACTAAATGATTTCAGGACGGCGTAACACTAAGGAAGAGGGAAAGTCTATGACAAGAATGTAACATACTGGAAAACGAAGAAGAACGGAGAATTGGCCTAAAAATACTAGTGTTTGATTCAAAAAGAAAATGTTCAAACACAATCCACATCTCAAAGCAAAAAAAGGCAAAATCATCCAACTCTAGAGACTGAAAGGAATTTACTAGCTTCTGCTCTGAGCTTTTACACCTCACTCCTATTCTGTGTTGCACCAACAGGAAGAGGAATAGCCCAAAATTCCTTTGAAACATTTAATCCCACGTTTGTAGCAAACAAAAGCTCATAAAAGAAAAATCAGGAACAACTTCAAAACATGATTCAGAAATCCTTACTCTGTTTTCCTGCTGTAGTGTTGTAATGTCTAGAAAAGATAATGCCAAGGTAGTTTTATAAAGCATGCTCATATTACAGAATTTATACTGCACTTTTTGCTTATGATCTTAGTTCCTTCTTAATCTGCCATAAAGATTCCAACTAATCTCATTAGTAAGCAATGCCGCTAATTGTCAGGCTGCACTGATGCTCCATCTCTGTTCAAATTGGAAGTTAAATATAGAACACTGAATAAGAAACAGGGCACAAAATTCTGATTTTCAGGTAATCCGAATTCTCTCAAATCCAGATAACGTATGTCAATATAGATTTCTTAACTGTTCTGCTCTTTCTCTTTCAGGCTATCTTTCTTGGAAAACTTCAGCTTCCTCACCATCTTAATCAAAACTGTTGACCACAGGGCACCCTCTGTCATTTCATCTTTTTCAGAAAATATGTATTTAATTCTGCAATCTCTATGCACAGCAGCGACAAGAACAGCATTATGAGTCTAAAACTATACTTTTTTTAAAGAAGAGGCTTTATGGAAACAAGCATATTTGCGATAATAACAACAACAACAGTAGTAGTAGTAATAGTAATAATAATAATAATAATTCAGATACGGCTCAAAATTATTTGACCAGAATTACAGAATGGTAGGGGTTGGAAGGGACCTCCGGAGATCATCTAGTCCAACCCCCCTGCTAAAGCAGGTTCACCTACAGCAGGTTGCACAGGACTGCATCCAGGTGGATTTTGAATATCTCCAGGGAAGGAGACTCCACAGCCTCCCTGGGCTTGCTCTGCCACCCTCAGAGTAAAGAAGTTTTTCCTCACGTTCAGGTGGAACTTCCTCTGCTCCAGTTTGTGCCCATTGCCCCTTGTCGTGTCACTGGGAACCACTGTAAAGAGTCTCACCTCGTCCTCTTAACACCCACTCTTTAGATATCTGTAAAAGGTCCCCTTCTCAGTCTTCTCTTCTCCAGGCTAAACAGACCCAGGTCTCTCAGCCTTTCTTCATAAGAGAGATGCTCCAGTCCCCTCATCATCTTAGTAGCCCTCTGCTGGACTCTCCCCAGTAGCTCCCTGTCTCTCTTGAACTGGGGAGCCCAGAAATGGACACAACACTCCAGGTGTGGCCTCACCAGGGCAGAGCAGAGGGGGAGGTAACCTCCCTCGACCTGCTGGCCACATCTTAGTGCACTCCAGGGGACCAATGGCCTTCTTGGCCACAAGGGCACATGGCTGGCTCATGGCTAACTTGGTGCCTACCAGGACTCCCAGATCCTTCTCCAGAGAGCTGCTCTCCAGCAGGTCAACCCTCAGCCTGTACTGGTGCATGGGGTTATTCCTCCCCAGACGCAGGACCCTACACTTGCCTTTATTGAACCTCATTACGTTCATCTCCGCCCAGCTCTCCAGCCTGTCCAGGTCTCTCTGAATGGCAGCACAGCCCTCTGGTGTATCAGCCACTCCTCCCATTTTTGTGTCATCAGCAAACTTGCTGCCCCTTCATCCAGATCATGATGAATAAGACTGGACCTACTACTGATCCCTGGGGAACATCACTAGTTACAGGCTTCAAGGTACATATACCTGTTGTGAAAACCTGGGGCCTTCAAAGAAAAAAAAAAAATTAACTTGAATGTGTCTGATTCTCAAAATGTTATTCCACGATAAAGCTGCTTGCAAAGTATATTTAAGTCAGATTTGTCAGAATTTCACTAGCTAAAAATCAGTTTGTCACGTTTCCTTTCCTTAGTACATGACCTATTGCCTTAAAAGTCCTATGACCCATATGTGGGCCATCAGAACTGTCGTGTCCTCAGCTATCTCATCTCTTCATAACTAAGGTATTATATTCTGATCAAAAGCAAATTCCTCACATAGACCAGAACTACCGTTAACGGACATCAGTAGTAGCATGCTCTCATGGGAAAAAAAAAAGCAAACAAACAAAACACAAAAAGAAACACATACACCAATTTTAGAGGCAGACTGAAGTAACAGAAAGCATTATTAAACCTTCCCCAGCTATCAATGTGTAAAAGCTTTTTTTTTTTCCAAATGAAGTTAAACAGGTGATACATGATTTTTACTAACTTGCAGAATTAAAATTCTAAGTCGAAAAGTTCTGTTGAATTGCATCCAGTAAATGTAGCTCGACCTGCCACATTCAAAATAAGCTTACAGATGGCTAGCTTTTGCCAATGCTGAGTCACACAGTCAAAGTGTCATCTGAAAGACTCCCCCTCCACCCCATCCACCAATGTCAGTAGATAGTTCTTTTTATATTCACAAGCAAAGGCCCAGTATTCCTATACAAAGTCCTCTTTTTACTGTGGTTCTTGTATTATGCAAGTAGCTCTATTTTAAAACATTTTACACATTACTTTGACATACTTAAATTCCAGTCAGAAATAGTATCATCGTCATCAAGTTCATCGTCATCATCGTCATCATCTTCAATACCATCTTCTTCATGTTGCTGAGCCACCGTCCGTGAACGATGAAAACGAGGTCTTATGTCCTGTTCACTATCTGGAATAGCTTCATCTTCTTCAACATCCCCCTGTCATCAAAACGTTTTATCAGATAAATTAATCCAACTATATGGCTCAAGGAAGTTAGGAATGTAGTTTTAGTTCAAGATTTTATAAGCATATAAAAGATTCACATCCCACAGGATGTGAATTACAGGAAGACAGAAGCAAGAGAGGTAAGCTCACGCACAAAGTATCCTTCTTGTTAAGAAATTACTCTCAATAGGAATGAAATAGAAAGAAGTAGTGACAGAGAAATTCTGGTACAGAATTCTAAAATGTAGTGATGGAAAAAGCCATGTATTCTATCTAGAAGGCATTAGAACTAATACTGAACATTTTTTTTAGGCTGCATTGTTGCAGTAGTTCATGGGTAATAGCATTCCAGCTCTGCCTAAGTTAGGTGGGAGGGGACGGGGCAAAGCAGGAAAGCCTGCAGATTGTTTTCCAACAAACATGGCAGCAGTCACATTTAGTACTCAGAACAGCACACCTTGCCCCAGAAAGCTAATTCTCCATTGAATAGATGGTAGGCCAGATGTGCCCATTCTGATTGGAATCATTCTGATTTATAGGTCAGAAGCTAACCAGATATTCTTACAGAGTAAAAGAAGTTGATGCTCACCTTCAACAGAATAATATCGATCTCTGAATATTTCATACCATTTACCAGCACAGGTATCAGTCTACAAAGAAATATTGATACATGTTTAACTAACACATTAAAAAGGCAAGCCAGTTTTCAGTTACCTGGGCCATAGTTTTTATGTAATGTTCACGTCCCCAATCCAAAATAAATTAAAAAAACAGAGCAACTTAGCCTGATAACAAAAGCTAGTACCTAAACCAAGCTCCATGTCATAAGGTTAATCAATACTTTGTAATCCGAAAAAGTGTTAATTTGAAATTAAAACATTTAACTAGTGGTAGCCAGTTGGCACAACTGAGTTTTAAACTTTAAAAACCAGATATTCTTCCATGGGACGAATTTATTCTGAAGCACCTTCTAGAAATTAAAGTTTTTCAAGTTAAGAATTCAAAGTCCCATAACATGTATGATAAAGAAGATGGCTCTCACCAATAGTACTTGTCACATTATTTACCTACAGTTGAAGACTCTACCTCACTACTCTTAAAGATAGAAACCTAACTACATTAAACCCTCCTATCCTTTTGTGATTACTTCAATAAGACAAGTCCCCAACATTGCAGAGATCTTGACTAATCTGTGTCAGGATTGACTTCATTACTGAACTGATTACGGCTACAGGACTCCCACTTTACAGACATATAGCTAAAAAAAGGACTAAGGGAAAAAAGTAAAATACTTCACATAAAAACACATTCTACACACACACACAAGATCCATAAAAATATGTATTACAAGACAAATCAAGCTAATAATGACCATGGACTGATTCAGTACTACTGACAGTCTCTCTATCCTGCAGCCAAGGTGTATTGTTTTTGAAGGTACCAGGCCAGCAATAATATTTACGCAAGGCAATGGCACATTACCTTCTAAACTTTGAATGAAGGAATAGTAAGTATGCACGTTATTACCAACTCATTGGCAAAAAATTCTAAGATTATCGCCAAGTATTGACAGACATATACAGCTCCCTAGTCAAACAGGACTCGCCAACAAATAAGTTGCTTTCAGCAAACATGACACTGAAAGATCATGACAAATGTAATGTTATTTGTTTTCCTAGAAATTTAAAAACTTTTTTTAAAAAATAAAAAAATTGAGTATGTCACTGTTGCAGTATCAACACTACAGTTCATGTAGGCCAAAAGAGGCCTAATACTAGTTGTTATTAACTAGTAGTTAACGACTGTTATTCTCAGTATAAACAGATATTAACTAGTAGTTAACGACTGTTATTCTCAGTATAAACAGATATTAACTAGTAAACGACTGTTATTCTCAGTATAAACATGATGTGTGTTGGGAAGGGGGTGGGTAGACTTAAGAACTGTGCTGTCATCCTTTTGTCTTTCGAGCTACAAGAGTAGGAATTAAGTAAAACCATTTTAAAATTTAAAAAATATTTCTCATAACATTGCTTGTCCTGTTTTCAACTCCTGTTCCTTCACTGCTATAGTAGGTGTTTTAATCTCAATTCTTTACTTTTGAATCACTTATGAAAACTGAAATATTGCTGTTTTTTAACTGCTTCACATTTATAATGCTTATTTTTGCTGAGAAGAACACACCTCTTCCGTCTGTAATTTTGTTCTTCCACTCAGATCTTAAGAGAATTGCCCTAGTAATTTCATAATCCTTCCATTTTGCATACATAAAAAACAAAGAGTATCCTTTTACTGGATACACTGAGGAATTCATTTCCTACTGCAAATGACTTCAGATTAGTCTGGAAAAAAGCTACAAGTGCTATTTCAGACATGCAGATGTTTATGTCTCAAACATGGATATCCATTCCTGTTCAATCAAAAATCTACATTTTGAGTCACAGGATAACTTATTTAAACTTACAAAAAATAGGTTTTGAAACTTAAACTACTATCAGGCTGCAAAAGTACAAAGGAACACATTGTACTGTTCTTCAAGTTTAAATTGTAATAGCAATTCATATAAAATTGATTCCTAAATCCAAGTGATGTCATATTGTTTTGCTATGTTTTTCATAAAACAGGGAACCCTTTGCACGATTATGCACATAGAAGCACTGCACAGAGATACCTACATCAGCAGTAGTCAAGACATGCTCATGGTACACCAGCTATTACAGGTAATGTCATGTGGAGATGGTTGTTTGAGCTTAAGTGCATATTAGCACATCTTTGCATCCATGTGAAGCTTAACAGCCTGATAAGTTTGAGGTAAAACACCACAGTGACACAGTTTAGGCTGCTTCTGGAGGTCACTGGGTCTGAAATCCTCAGAATTGTTTTCAATGAACAGCCATTTTTACTATGCACAAGAACTACCTACACAAAAATTCTTCTAAGCATACTGCAAGCTAGACACAGTTTCTATAAGAGTAACCAGGAAGAAGTCAACTGAAGTTTAAAGATGAGTATTTAAAAATAAATAGGAGTTGTAATTCTTAATACTTACTTAGTAAGATGCCGACATAATACATCTTTACAAATTGGCTGTTCAGCCAAAGTTAGCCAAAACTCACAAGCCTCCAAAGCCACATTTTCATCTTGGTCTTGGGTCCTCTGAAGCATGTACTACACAATATAAAAATAAATGACTTGTATAAGATAGAAGTTTATGTGTCTAGAAGAAGCCACCAACATTGCAAAGTGCGTTCACAAAACCAGACTATGCTACCATAATTTCTTTGGGACAAGGGGAAGAAACAGACATAAAAGACTACTTAGGGCTATTGCAAGAACAAGCTAAGAGACTTCTTTCTTAATTCTAGATGATTCAGATTCTACATTTCTTCATTGCTTAAGTGAGAACTTTATTACCAAGAAACTCCAGAGATCCAAGATAATAAACAGCAGTTTCCTGTGACCAGATTTTTAAAATTATTTTTTACTTCCCTCTTGCAGTTTCAAATAAAAAGGTACAATTATACCCTCTAATAAGATGGGAATACTTTATACTTCCAGTACCATAAAAAAAAGCTTCCCTTCCAAATCTTGAATGGCAATGCAGAGATTCAGTATCAAATCTTTGAGCTTGCTATTAAAATTTAATCTGCCTTCAAACACCCGCATAAACAAAAAGCCTAAGTAGACTACTGCTACATCAGTTTCTTATGCACAACTGCCAAAACAATTTAGGGAAGACTCTTGCAACTTGCAAGATAGTAATTTCAGCATTCTTCCATGCCTTATTTCTGAAACAGTTGGTTCTTCCATGCATTTTAGAAAACCTCATGGAAGTCCACACAGCTACCTTTCCTCACACATGTATTTAGAGCAAAAGAAATCCCTCTTCAGTTGCTTCAGAGTACCATTTTATTCTCAAAATTAAGTAGAATGGTAGGACCTTTATTATCCTTCTGCATTTCAGGGATGCAAGGCTTGCCATGAACTGCACTCCTTTCTACAGAATTGCACTAAATTGCAAGTTTTTCCTAAAGTTTCACTACTGCGATTAAGAACTCACAATAACAGAAATACTGCTCTATTCTGAGTTGCCAACAGACTGCAGCTCAGCAAAGTTGAAAAATGTCCTACTCATTGGAAGCAAGGCTTCCCTAATGCACCTTAAGTTAAGAGATTTCGTACTTTTCCCCAGCAGTCTTGAAAATCCAGTACTTTATTGTAGATTTGTTACTTGTCAGGAAGACAAAAAGTAATCTCTTTGAAGATGCCCTTTACACTGTCACTTCCTCTTTAAGTATTTACAGCCTGGAAATCACAGCAAAAACAGTGACCCTAGTAACAAAGCAAAATGTGGGAAGGATATTTGAAGACTTTGGTTTTTTTTCAATATTATCATGCCAAATTTTAATACGCACTTTTAATGATAAGCTATAAAATTCTACTGATTTTAGGCAATGTAAATAGTTGCTTTGTCACAATAAATTACCAAATAGCGTAGGAAGATTATTCAGTACAGTTTTCTGTACACCGTAACATAAATGAGGTTGTATTAGTCTTGTTAAATCAAACCATCAAGAAAAGAATAGTGGGATACACAAAGTATTATGAAGAACACATCCTTTGAGCAGTAACAGACTTGTCTTCATCTGAAGAACACAACAGGATGCAAAAGTTGGGATTTCTCCTGAACAAGATCTTAGGTGCCATGTGTTCAGATAAATACGCTCTGTAAGCATACAAGTGCAATCTAATAATTCAAATCTTAGGTTGGTCTACTCCTGACATATCCTATTACCAAGTTCTCAGACAAAAAAAACCAAACATCTGCTTCTGCTGACTGGAAGTGGATACTCAGAAAACTCAGTGAAACCTAAAAACTTAGGCACTCCTGTATGCTCCAGGGATTTGGCAAGAAAGTTCAAACCTGTCTGCTTCAAAAGCACGATGCCTGCCAAGACCTTCTTAGAATCACTACTGGATGAGCAATATTCTTAACTACTTTAAAAGTGATTCTCCGTAAGTATAAAGAACACCATGTAGATACAAGTTTCTCTCTTAAGACTTTCTTCTGTTAGAGCAGGCATCAGCAGCAGCATTCAGCTTGGAGGCATTAAAGCCTCAAAGGTGCAAAACCCAACTCATTTGAATGCTAAACAATAGTCAGTTCTGGGATATTACATTTGCACTTACTAGGATGCATACAGAACTGGGGAAATCAGTAACAGTATACAGTAGTCCCAAACTAAAAAAAAAAAACCAAACTCTGAACTTTCTGTCACTACTACTGTCTTTTGTAGGGAGGAAGCCTAGTAATAACTTTCCCAACAGCAAAATATCAGATACAATGAGAATAAAGTCTTGGATTTTTTCTGGTTGGTGACATCATTTCTACCTACAAAGTCCAAAAGTTCCTTACTGATCTCAGGATAGTGAAGAGCCAGAGAAGTTATCACTTCTTGATAATATAATCTCCAAAGCTTTATGCTGTCTCAAAAAAAAAAAGTATCTGCCAACCAACCAAACATAAAAACCCCACCACCAAGTACCAACAATCCTTGCTTGTCCTATGTTATATAAGAATGTGTCTGCCAAGACTGGTGCCATGGAATTCCAGACAACATACAGCAAGACTAGACAGCAGGCCAAGGCTGTCAAGGGTCACCTCAGTTTTATGCAGCTCTTAAAACCTTTGTACAGGAGCAAAAAAAACTTAACACCTTCTTTGTGTTGTCTGGACATAGTCCTTATGAAATTTGACACCAAGTTATGACCTACTTGTCCACATGAAATCTGCATGGGAATCGTTATGCTCTTAGCTGTATTTCCAGTCTGGCAAGCAGCATATATAAATGCTATCTAGAAAGTGCCAGTACTTCCCAGAAACGTGGAAATTAGTCACAGCTCAAACAGTTGAGCAGACAAAAAACCAGAGCTGATTTGTCCTCTGGTAAGATGTCTGCACTAATCTAGAATGGCAGAGGAACTATCAAAATGACATTAACCTCTACAACTGAATGCAACAGAAGGCAACGTCATCAATAGCTCAAAGACCATCTCAGGTATATAAAATAATAGGCCTTATCCTTGTTACGGTCAACACACCCAAAAAAAGTGACAGCTTCAATGTGTAAACTGTAGCAGTGTCAGCACTAGCACTAGATTTTTAACATGACCTTCTTATTTGGGGTCAAGCAATGCCTGGCTGCTCCATAGCATTGCTGATCCTGGCCATTTCAGGATCAATTAATTTAATGAAGAATAAATAACCGCCATATGCATTGCCTATCAAACAGAATGTTAAGCTGGCAATTAGCTAGGAAGAAAGTTTCGCAATCTCGGTCTTGAAGGAAAATCAAAAGTAAGCAAGTGCAAGAGTAATATATCTTTTTTGATGAATGTTTTTTATTTGTTACTATTTCTGCAACCCCAAGCAAGATTTTTGGCATGCAATCTGGGAAATCAGACTCACCTCAACTATACTAATCATATGAGGAAGAAGGCGATCCATTCGAACTTCCAGCAACATTACCAGAGCACGGCAAACGTTTTTGCGTACTTCAGGCTCCTCATCACCAGCCAGTGCAAAAAGATTCTGTTGGAAAGTAGTACCAGTTGAAAAACCTCAGCTCATCAAGTTCAACTTGTATTTAAATTGACATTACTGGCAAACTAAAATATGCAAGTATGTCCTTCTGTAGTCGCCCACTCCACAACTCAGAATACCATTTTATTTCTTAAAGACATATGGTTTAGCAAATGAACTCTTCAGACTCTCAATGTGTATTATACACATAACCAAAACTGTGTAATAGTAGCACTGGCACAAGAACACTATTTCCTGGATATTTTTCCCCCCCTAAACATAAATGAAGTTCTGAAGCCAGAAAACTCCAACAGTACGTAACAGCAGCAAATCAAATACTCTAGATAACCCTAAATATCACTCGTCTAATCCATGTTCAGTAGCAGTATTCAGAGAGGCCCAGACTGACTCAGTGACATGATGCTTCTTATACTGCACTTTCCAACATGGGTAAGTGAGAGGCTGCTGCTGTTACTTTTACACCTTTATGAAACAAGAGCTTCCTCTACTTATGAAGAGGAAGCATCTTTCAAAATACTGTTTTTTGGGCTTGGAGAATGCTTAGACTGAGCACAAGCATACAGAATGAACTTCAATCCATGGGGATTGAAGCAAAGAATGCCAGAAATGGTGAGTTTGGGGGTAGAGGTGATCGTAAAACATAATTCAAAACTCTTGATAAGTCAGATATGTAATTTGACTTAACCCCCCCAACCAAGAATGCACACCCACCTCAATAAAAGAATCTATGTGCAACATAAGAGCTTGTGTTCTGCTGATGATAAACTGATTGACGCATGCAACAGCATGAGACCTACAAATGAAACAGTTAAAATATTCATTTGTCATGAGTTAGAAACATTTTCTAAACTGTACACAGGCACCAAAAACATTAGGAAGCAAATTACATTGTCCAAATACCTTCTAGAGGGCAAGAGGGAACAAATCTGTACATCTATAGTATTACCAAGCAAAATAACTAAAAGACATTTTAAGCACCACCTTATACTCAGATATATCTATTTAAAAATAAAGTATTCAGTAAATAAAAAACAGAGCACAATGACTAGACCTGCCGTATTTGTTCTGAATGGTATGTAAGGATGTTCTTTTTGACTATGATTGCTGATCTTCTGAGATATCAACAATTCCATACAAGTCAACATAGTGAAATCTTAGCATGCCCTTCTTCATTGCTAAGTATCCAACTACCTTTGCAATATTTTTAGTATTTAGTGAGACCAGTATGTGTCAACAACATAGCTGCAGCTCAGAGCAAACACACACCTGTAGCAGGACACATACTAAAACACTTGTAGCAGAAACACACTAAAAATGAAGCATTGGTTCTTCTATTCCATTTCATGCAAAGCCATTCCTTACAGGTCTTTTTCATTCTCAGAGATACAAAAGTCAAATTCCATAAGTAAAGGCACAAGGCAAAACTACCTGTAAAAGCCTTTGAAGTTCTATTAAAGTATTTTTATTAATGTAACTTCAAACTTCTGTTCTGTTCAGACATTTCTTGGAAGACTGTCTCGCAAAGCACTGTTCAAAAGTTGTCTCTTGACAGATTTAAATATAAAGTGTTTTACTGACACTACTAATAGTTTTCACACTTCAGCACTATGTACTGAAACCAGGCTGCAGGTCAGCAGGTGGCCTGCTTTAAACTTGAAACTGGTTTAACAGCCTCAAAGCCACAAATATTGCATGTATGTGTTAAGGAAAAAAGCATGGTTTTCTCCTTCTCTCCCAGCTCTAGAAAATTATTAAGTTTATCTTTCCACAAGAGTGAGTTCATGCTTTGTTACATATTTTTCTTAGTGTGCATCTTCTTTTAGAGGATTTTCTAAGTTTTATTTGAATCCTATCATGATATATTCCAAGTTATACTCTTCCTTTCAGTCTTCACCATCTAGTACTGTTGGCAATAAAGAATTGCCACCTCCAAGTTGGAGAATCTTTCAATATAATTTTCAAACAGGAGTTAAAAAATAAATTTCATGGAATCACAGAGAACCACAGAATGGTTGAAGTTGAAAGGCACCTCTGGAGGTCATCTGGTCCAACCCCCCTGCTCAAGCAGGGTCACCTACAGCCAGTTGTCCAGGATCATGTCCAGGTGGCTTTCGAGTGTCTTCAAGGACAGAGACTCTACCACCCCTGTGGGTTACCCGTGCCAGTGCTTGGCCCCTCTCACAGTAAAGAAGTGTTTCCTGATGTTCAGAAGGAACCTGCTGTGTTTCTGTTTGTGCCCATTGCCTCTGGTCCTGTCACTGGGCACCACTGGAAAGAGCCTGGCCACGTCTTTTTTGCTTCCTCCCTTCAGGTATTTACATACATTGAGGAGCTCCCCCAGTCCCAGATCTCTCAGCTTTTCCTCATAAGAGAGGTGCTCCAGTCCCTTCTAATTTTCATGGCCCTTTGCTGGACTCTCTCCACTATGTCCACGTCTCTCTTGCACTGGACAGCCCAGAACTGGACACAGTACTCCAGGTGTGGTCTCATCTGGAAGATGAGGGGAAGGATCACAACCTCCCTTACCCAGCTGGCAATACTCCAGCCCAGGACACCATTAGTCACCTGTGTGGCAGGGGCACACTGTTGGCTCATTACAGAGTAAAAGCTACTGTTCTTTATAATGAGTATTAGCAATAACAACTTAATTCTGGAATTTTTCTTCTCTCCTATACTTGTTACTTTGGAGAGATTAATACAGTTTTACAGTGAAAAGATGATGAACCCATTTAATTTGATTCAGCTGAAAAATAAAGAGCTTTCTAAGTTTTGGTGCAGTTAAACCAGAAACTATTACCAGCAAAAGAATTTTGACTCTTGTACTGCTGAAGTCATTACAAATGAATTCAAAATTGCTTTTTCTAATCAGAATATTAAGTTCTAATCACAGCATTGAATTTTTCATCATAATACGCAAAAGCTTAAAGTTTGATTGTACATAGGCTGATTGTACATTTCGAAGATGTATAAAGAGGCGAGATTGTTGTATTAACTAAGCAGATAAACATGGAAATTACTGATGCATGGAATCTCTGTGGATGTCTGCAGGATCACTTAAAAAAAACTAAGCATGTTTTAAACAGATCTACAAAATAGCAACCTTGCTGCTCATGTAAATAAAATTTTAACAGGTAATTGCATTACAACAGCTAAACCTACCTTATTTTTGGACTGCTGTGCTTGAAGAATTGCAAGAACTTAGGTATCATGATATTGAGTGGTCGGTCCAATACATCACTATCTAAAATTTCAGCAGAATCTTCACATATCTTCTGAAGGGCACCGAAAGCACCCTGTTAAAAGAAAATAAAAATATCTTCTTTCACATTCTGAAGAGAGCAAAATTTCAGGTTTTGTACAAAACAGGTAATTTCAGCACAACACAGAAATGTAACTAGTTAGCACAGTAAATGCAGCTAACTAAATATGGAGGTAAACTGAAACATCCTTAAAGGCTTTTTATTTAAGCCCTTTATACCGGCATCTGTAAGCTCTCAAGCTGGGTGAGTCAGTAATGGATAAATGGTAATTTTAATTTTAGCATTCAATTCTCATCTATTCATTCATATTTTTAAAAATGCTTAAAAGCTGCTACTTATTTGAGAAATAAATGTCCAGGTGCAGAAGTATCCAATTTAATTACATATATAATTGCATTTCCTTTCATGGTTTGTTATGGGACAAAAACAGAACTCTGGATATAATGGTCAATTTCAGTTTCATTTTCAAGCGATTTTTCTTTTTCTTGAGGAAGCAGAACTAAAACACTACATAACAGCATGGCATCCTGGACCATTATCCTATCTCTGAGAAATATTTTATACAAAATGCTTCACACACTTTAATGGAGACTGTATAAAGTAAGTAAGATTGTGCGATCAGAGTTTTTTATTTTTTTAAATCAGACAAGGCTTTTTTTCTCATCATAGTTTAAAACAGTTAAGTTGGTATTTCTTTATTTTCCTTCATACACACTGAACAAAACAGTTAATTTCACCATAACAGAGCAATGACAGATACTTTTCCAGATTGAGTTACAAGAAGAACGAACACTACTTTTAAGAAATTCAGGGTCAACTTGATGATGCTGATGATGCCTAGAAGATTAGGCATCACAAAGCGGTAACTTCAGGACACTTCTCAGCTGAGATGCTATGACTACCCAACTGCAGTCTTATTCTGCTTTTATGCAAAGAAAACAAATTTGTTTGAACGAATAGTAAGAACATGGAATGCAGGTAGAAGAAAAAGTATCAGATTTGAGCCACTGTTCTCCAACGAGAATATATGTGCATGCATACACACCCACACCCCCACCCCCCCCCCCCGCTACTATACATATACATAGTGTGTATGAAGACAGATAAAACTAATCAAATTCAGACACTAATGTCCTATTTTCTGTAAGTCTGCTTACCTCACAGGTATTGTAATCTTCAGAATCCAACAGGCTGCAAAGCTTTGGTAAGAGTTCTGGCCAATTCTGTAATTCCCCTTTTGAGGCAATGGTTGTTATCAGAATGCCTAAAGGAATTGCAGGGATGAAGGAAATGAGATCTCACATACCTTTACATGTTTCATACCAATTATTCTCCTCTCAAAGATCTAAGGAGTTAAGAAATTTCTTGTTTTGTTAAGAACTCGAAAGCATAAAAAGAGGAAGTACATTTAATTACAAATGGTATTTGAAGGGCTTTGAAATGCAAAGGTGGGTTGTTCCTTCCTGCTACCAATGAAGGGCTCAGACATGAGAAATCAAGCACAAAGTAATTCCAGTTAAGGAAATAATCATGCCCAAACACTGCAGGGCAGCTTTGGCTCTAAATTTACTAAACACTGTACAAATCTTGACCTCCAGTAAATATAAAGTGGCCACCTCAAGTCACCTCTTATTCTAATACAGAAGTATGAATGACTTACAACCCAGTGGTAGATGATGTGTTCACAATTTTACTGTGTTTACACAAAACATCAAGGACACATTCTAAGACTGAGATACCTACTAAGAGCTTACACACTATGGCAGGTCATCCAGTGATCAGCTGTAGGGTTTGGCTGATTGAGATCCAGCAAACAGATAGGTCAGCCCAAAGAGTCACTAATTCTCTTTCCAGAACATACAGAAATCCCAGGAAAAACTAGTTAGGTCACAGGAACAGAGAAGGCTGCTTATAAACTAGGACTGACTTTGTATGAGTCCATTTTGCCTCAAGACAAAATGAAACAGGTAGCATAATCTGTTACGCTACAGACAGTTACTTCTACTGAGTATGAACACAGAACAACCGGATACTACTACAACTACTAATCTCCCAAGTGATGAAAAAAGCTTTCCTAAGCTTTTTCATTGAGCTAATCGCAGTATAGCATTTTTCTTTGGAACAAAATATTAAAATTCTGGTTAAATACACAAGAATACAGGACAATATTAACAGAGCAAAGGACATTCTGGACAAGACACACAGTAACTAAAAGATATTTTGCATCATGTTTCTTTTGATGCAATAGTCTGGAGAACCCACAAAGACAAAGGGCAAAAATGAAGACAGAGGTAAAACAATTTTACAGCTCCAGATGTAGTTTGTATCCAGTTCTCTTCATAACTGCAACTGAATAGAAAAGATTCCCAAAAGCCTACGGAGATCTATGGAGTCTTAAAGACTGCATTTCTCCTGAATATTATGGTCCTGCAAAGAATATCAGATGCATTAATAGAAAATACTTATTTTACTGTTGCTAGATCTTAATGATCCACTTTTTTTTTTTAAATTAAACTGAACTTCACAAAAAGAACAAAATTAATTTTCTTGCCTCCTAGTCAAAAATAAACTGCAAAATAGTCTCCCTAACTTAGATTTGGCACAGGTTTGTTTGTAGACTTAACACAGGTTCAGAAACAAACATAATGAAATTCCTGTAACTCCTCTGGACTAACTGTGACAGTAGTTATAAGTCTCAAAGGGGTACGTAATTTTGGAAGAGAGTTGGTTGAAGATCTTTTCAAGGTCCTAGAAGTGATTTCAGAAGATGACGAATGGTCTGGCTATACTTGTAATATGTTCAAGCTTTCACAGCTGAAGGAAAGACTTTGAAAACTACTTCAAGTGTTCTTCCAAAAGGCTTATCCCAGGCAGCAACAGGATAACCTAGGAGGAAACACTTCCAGATGCATAGGCAAGAAGTGCCCTGAGGCCATTGCTTCTTTCAACAGAGATGTATGTAGTTCAGACCATACATGTCACTATGAACTTTGTTTACAGGTCTGCGGAGAGCCATTTACCACTGTGCTGGCGTTTTTGCAAGGATAAAGACACACTTCGGTGGGGCCAAAAAAAAAAAAAAAAAAGAATAACATCAGACTATGAGGAACTTAAAGAGAGGTAACAGCTACAGCATTTGAAGCTTTGCAAAAGGTTTAAGAACAATGAGGAAACAGACACATAACATTAAGTTTTAGGCACTTATGTACATGTTAAAAGGAATCTTCATGGGCTTCTAATGAGCTTCAACTTCTTCCAAATGTGAAAATTTTCCCACCCACCTGCCGCTTTATTTGGCCAGCAGGGAACAGAAGACACCAGAGATTAGCCTTTGTGGCTTTCTCTGTAACACTTCAGACATAGAAACATGAACATCAGAAGAATAATCAAAGTAAGGAAATAATCAATTTAATAGCTTGCATCTTTTTGACAAGTTTGAGCTAGAGCTAATAGTTAAAACAGGCCCTTCCTCCTGACCAACATACTAAATTGCAATGTTAGAAATCTGAAACTGAAAGTCTTTATGAAGATGGTCTTTGATTTGTAATGAACTTCAAAACAGTATTACAGAATCTGTTGATACTTCACTTAACAAATGTGAAATCTAACAAATATAGTCACTGGGCTAATTGAGCAGTAAACATATGAGAGAACAAACTCCAGAGGGATGTCAGAAATTGTTAAGAACATAAGCATAATTGTCATGACAGCATCTTATGTTACTGTTTCATTTAAGTACAACCCCAGCTTACAGCATCAGTTCTACAATAATATGTAGAAAAGCTATGCTCAGTACTTTCAAGCCAATAACAGGACGGCGAAAAGGCTGGGAGTTTTGGGGTGGTGTTTTGCCTCTGCAGCTCCTAAAGTTGATTTTTGAACTCATTAATTCCAAAAAGCTGAAACTCGTAACAAAATACCCCCTCATAGGGAAATCATTGGTTTTCACTTTCCTCTGTAGTGAAGTGCTCCAGTCCTGCCACTACTCTTAACACCCAAACTATTTCCCCTGCTTGCTTTTAAGCCAGAGCTACACCAAGGTCTTGCCCAGACTAGAATCCCCAGAAAGTTTCAAGAACAGCTACAGACACCTCCTAAATAGATGCCTTTATTTCCTGGTAAGTTTCTGGGTCCTCAATACATGCACCCATCTTTTTTGAACTTGAATCCATATTTCAACATTAGCACATGCGGTTTTAAAACCTGTACTACACAGCACAGAGAAGTTCCACGTTGTTACTCATTTGGGGACTAAAATAGGGAAAAGCTAAGTAAGAATACAACATGTAGTTACCATTTGGTCTCAAGTTACTGTTCTAAAATCAACTCTATAGCCATGCTCATTCTCCTCAGTGAGGTGACTTATGAGGATGGAATTAATCAGCTTGTCTCCAGCCTTGGCCAAAAGAAATCAACTTTTGTCTGGTTAGCCTTAGATGCCAGAGACCACAAAGGAGAGTGAATACTGCATTAAATCTTCTCTGATGCTATTTTGATGTACTTGCTCATCTTCCTCTCGGAATTCCAGAGATCTTATTTGCAACTGGCTCCTTAAATTGATAGTGCTTGAACTGCAAAAACCCATATGCATCTCAAAGAGCAGCTCTAACTAGCATGTGCCAACGCATATGCTAACAAGGCAGTCTAGGTAGGTAGCAATATATTTACACCTAGCTAGTACCAAGAGACCAGCGGGTACCAGACCAACCTCACTATTATGACAAAAGGCTACGAGAATCCCACATGTAACTACTTCAAACAACAAGGTGCAAAGCATGCGCTAAATAGCAGCTAGTATGCAAGCATACAGTTCATCAGTTGCTACCCATCTTCAGAGTTCATACATGCTTGGACAATCCCTGCAAGGATCACTTAAAGCTGAACAGTAATTGAGCTACTAATCCACAAACATCTCATACTAGGAGAAATCAAAGAGTAACTGCTTGAAAACAAACAACTTCCCCACTGCCCCAAAGACCCCACCCCACAAACCATCACCACCAAACAACCCTAAGACAGCAATCCAAATGGAGCTGGAATATATTCTTTAGTCAGATCCATTGTACTCTACTGACAACTCCTAAGAACAAACAAGCAAGTGTGACTCTTCCACAACCTGAAATCACAGAAGTACCTGCCATTCAAAGACTTGTTTCTGATGTCATTAAGAAAACTGAACATTAATAAAATTCATAGTAAAGCAGCTTCACAAGTGACAAGGAATAAGCTAGAGATGAGCACTTTTCTCTAGTCCATAGTCTGTAACTCAGATGTCTGGAGAAGCAGTCCTATAGAAAAAGCAAAGGATTCTAAAGGAGCAGTAACTAGTAGATTATTTTGTAAGAGGTGTCAGTTGATACAAGCTTAATTTCCTTCTGAACTGACACCCACCCCTATTTTCTCTACTGTACTCATATATGTATTTATTTTACTTTTTTCTAGTTTTTGAGTGGACAAGGAAAATTACTACAATGGTTGTAGTAATTGGAGGAAATTGTATTCTCAAAGAGCAGACAGAAAAGCTACTTTCCCTAGAAATAAGTAAAAATAATGCAAATACACATATTTTATGGAAGAGGTGTACTAAAAGTACCTATGAAATCAGAAATCCATGTAACAAACAATTCTTACTGGAACCAGATGACCTTTAAAGTCCCTTCCAACCCAAGCCATTCTATGATGTTCTGTATGCCACTTATCTACTGTTTTCTGACAGAAGGTATTTACAACAGAAAATCATTATGTGAATGTGTTACACGTGGCATGATGATTCCCTGAAGGGATGTGCATGTGTGTGCCTACGGGGGGGCGGGATGCAGGAAATCAGCTAACAGAAGTGTTTCATTGATGCAAGCAGAGTACTGAAATAGTTCTTAAGTCTATTTTACCTTGTTCCTGTTTTTAGGTATAGAAATAGAGAGCAAGCTCAATTTTAGTACATTTGCATACACTTGTGTTCAGTTACATTTCAAGATACGAAGTGAATTGCTATATCAGTTCTAAGAGCACAAGTAAGTGTGACTTTTGTACATTCACATTGAAGATAAATATCAGCACTAAAACACGGTGAAGTTGTGACAATTATCAGAATGAAACAGTTTTAGGAGTTTAATAACTATTTTATGTCAGTAGTACAGCTCTCACCTATATTAGTAACTGTTTCAGTATGCAGAAGACACCAATAAGAGTAAACTTACCTACAGTAGCTCTAATTAAGGGGGAGGAATCACCAATGTTGTTCAGACATTCACTTTTAATGAAGTCAGTTACCCCATTGGGAAAATTGTGAAAATGTGCTTTTACATTATTCTTCAAGATGAGACCACTCAAGGAACGTGTCGGTTCATCTGCAACAGAAAATAATTACAGTCAATCTTCAGTCAGCTCATAGGAATGCGGCAGATTTCCAGAATAATGCAACAAGACCAAAGCTTATAGAGCGATAATAATCTTCATCTCCTTATATCTCCTTCCAACTACACCCATCAATTCACATAGCAAAGCTTTTCAGATACAGAATTCACTATTTCTATTTACTCACAATTAGAGTATCAGTATTACAAATTCTACAGTTTAAAAGAAAGTTTACTAATGTAGAGATACGGGCAAGGAATAGACCTGAAGTCACACGATACAGGAGACTCATGAAAGAAATTGGTTAGCCAAGGACATTCAGACATTCTGATTATACTGACAGGCTTGCAGCAACACTGATAGTGTACAAAATTGACGACAAACCTGCTTTCACCATAGTAGGATGGCCTTTTAAGGGCTTTAATGGCCTTAAGCTGCACCAGGGGCGGTTCAGGCTGGATATTAGGAAGAGTTTCTTTACTGACAGGGTTGTCAGGCATTGGAACAGCCTGCCCAGGGACGTGGTGGAGTCACCATCCCTGGAGGTGTTTAAGAGACGGGTAGATGTTGTACTTAGGGACATGGTTTAGTGGTGTTGGTAGAGCTAGGACAAAGGTTGGACTCGATGATCTTGAAGGTCTCTTCCAACCGAAACTGTTCTATGGTTCTACGATTCTAAGATATAAAAATGATGTAGGGACTATGCAGTAAATCCTCCACCCCCTACTCCCACAGAAAGACAGTGTTGATTTTTTTTACAAAATAAAATATTGTAATCCCTTCATATACCAGCTGTTCTATTGATCTATTAAACTAATAATTAGAGGGAGAAGAAAAAAAAAAAGTCTAAACAATGTTACAGAAAAGTGTTATATAGTGTGAACTGTAAGAAAAAAGTGACCAGAATTGACTGGAACCAAGTAAGAATTTAAGTTTAGGCAACAGTTTGAAGTCTCCTCACTGAGCTCTTTCTGCCTGCAAATTTCTCTAAACTACTGGGACAAAAGGAGGAACAGAAAAAGAACAGCCTAGATTTTTCATTTATGTTGGAGCAGACTCATGTTTGGTTCTTCAACTAAGGGCATAAGTAACTTGGTATTACTTCTGAAATATGCTGAAAGGGAGATCTGGATGTTCTACATAGAAAGGATTAGTTTATAGTGTAAGAAAATTTAAATTTACAGTTTACAGCAACCCTAATCAGCACAGGAAACTAATTACAATTAGCATTTTAGTCACTTGTTTGAACTTATGAAGCCCCGATTTGGGCAAGAAATAAGGATTTTCAAAGTTTGTGCCAAGAATTAGTTTACACATGGATCTACTCCAGGCCTTCAAAACTATTAACATCCCAACAGAAATAAGGATAAGCAAAATAAGAGATACAATTTTCAAATATAAATTATTTTCAAACTAAAGGTACTGCATCACAACACCAAGACTCTCAGTACAGCTGTGATGTCTGACCGACGGACATTAAAGACACTTTCTATTGTAATCTGTGCTAATTAGAACAGAAAGAACACTTTTCAGATGAGGGGTTTTGTTTGGCTGATCAGAAATTAAAATTAATTTTAATCAACTGATTTTGAGTGTCAAAACTAGACTGTCATCATATACTTTTAAATATTTTTTATGTTCATATTTAAGTTCTCCTAAAGAATTACCATTTTTCATGCCTCGTAACTATAAATGTATTTATTTACAAACAAACGAATCCTTTACATAGAATTCAGTAACTTTATAAACCAGGAAGGTACCCTATGCATACATATTTGAAACACTTCTAAAACTTTACCCGTGCTGTAGGTTTTAAATACCCACCAATTTCTAAACATCACAAAAATAAGTCATTTTACTTGCACAGCACTGCATTTCAAGGCAAACAACTTTTCTGGGAGAACAGAAAAGGAGGGAAGAAAGGTTTTATTATTTTAAATAAAAAATATTAAAGACTGGATGAGCAGACAAACTTTTCTCAACCACAGAACTTGGCTGTGAGATGTAACAAGTATTACTACTATTATTATTACTCGGCAAGTCAAATTGAGTAATTTTGAAATTTTGTTTAAAGTTTGGAATATATCATTAATAAAGATCAGGTGGAGAATGATCTAAAGAGAGAAGTTCTCACTAGAACTCTTGAACAGTCTCAGGTTTGCCTGAAATACTCTCTGAATTAAAAATAAAATCCCCACATCAACTCTTATACTGATATAATTAGTGTCAAACTCTGATTGCTTCATGTAACAATAATCCCTTGATAGGTACACACATCTTCAAGAAATCCAGTCCTCCATAAATGATTAGTAAGAGTTAAAGTTGTGCCTTGTGAGGAAGGAAGCCAGAGGAGTCTCCCATTAATTTCCACAACTTACAACCCTTTCATGCCCTAATAAATGAACAGCAGCAGCAGCCATAGTGAGACACAGTATACAACAGTTACTCATTCTGTATCAGCCAGCAGTATCTTCTCGGGGTGAAAGAGTTAGGCCCGTGCAAAGCTCATGAAGTTCAACAAGGCCAAGTGCAAGGTCCTGCGTCTGGGCTGAGGCAATCCCAAGCACTGATACAGGCTGGGGAATGAAGAGATTGAGAGCAGCCCTGTAGTAAAGGACTTGGGGATGCTGGTGGATGAAAAACTGAACATGAGCCACCAACGTGCGCTTGCAGCCCAGAAAGCCAATTGTATCCTGGGCTGCATCAAAAAAACTGTGGCCAGCAGCTCAAGGGATGTGATTTTTCCCCCTCTGCTCTGCTCTAGTGAGCCCTCACCTGCAGTGCTGTGTTCAGCTCTGGGGGCCCCAGCACAAGAAAGACATGGACCTGCTCGAGTGGGTCCAGAGGAGGGTCACAAAGATCATTATGGGGCTGGAGCACCTCCCCTGTGAGGACAGGCTGGGAGAGTTGGGGTTGTTCAGCCTGGAGAAGAGAAGGCTCCGGGGAGACCTTATAGTGGCCTTCCAGTACTTCAAGGGGGCCTACAGGAAAGATGGGGAGGGACTTTTCATCAGGGAGTGCAGTGACAGGACAAAAGGTTTCAAACTGAAAGGGGGAAGATTTAGATTAGATATGAGGAAGCAATTCTTTCCTGTGAGAGTGGTGAGACACTGGCACAGGTTGCCCAGAGAAGCTGTGGCTGCCCCCTCCCTGGCAGTGTTCAAGGCCAGGCTGGATGGGGCTTCGAGCAACCTGGTCTGGTGGAAGGTGTCCCTGCCCATGCCAGGGGGGGTTGAAACTCGATGATCTTTCAGGTCCCTTCAAGCCCAATTTTGTGGTTCTATGATATGAAGTCAGACTGCCAACCAGTCTGATTAGAATATGATAGATTAGCCACTATTAGTATAAACTCCAGCATGAAAATACTAAACAGTGCATTAAGGAAAAACATTAATCCTTTAGAATGCCTGGCTACAATTACAAAAGGGACAAGGCCACAGCTTCAATTTAACTAAGCAGAGATACAGATACTGTGAAGTTCCTTGTGCAGAAATAAACAGATTAGCCAGCCGGTTTAGATGAAAATCAAGGTGAAACTTCAGCACCATTTTTTCCTCCATGAACTATTCTATGGTACACAGCAGAATGAAACATCTTAAATCCATTCCTTCAGCCAAAATAACAGAAAGACTGTTCTTCAGAGTAAGTGTTTATCCCACAGACCTGCAACAAAAATTCCATGGGATTCATAGTGACAGTTGCATCTCCGACAAAAGAAAAAATTCATGAAGCGAGAAAAAGAAGAAAGTTTAAAAACAAAAAAGAAAACCAATTATCACCGTACTGAGAGGTGATAAGCAGACATCATAAAGCTGGATTTAGTGGTAAACAAACACCAACCACTTGAGCTAAAGAAGCGGCACAGAATCTGATACTCAGGCATTTAAAAAAAATACAAACAAAACAAAACCCAAATCATACCATAGTCAAAATCTCAGTTTGTGAAAAAAATTTTGTGATATGACTGCACAAGGATATTTATGGAATCCAGGGTGTTCAACAACTTCACAGCTACACTGTCAGAAGACAGTAATATAGGTCTGGATAGAGTTCTTGCTGTAACACCAAGATTACAGGCAGATGGCCTAAGAGCTGAGTAAGACATTCTTTAGTCTTCATAGATTCTGTGATAAGTTCTGCCAGCCATATGCTTCAGTTATCAAAAAAGATCACGGTCTTGCCTCCTCCTATCTCAGTCAACCTGGGAGTACAGAGAGTCAACAAGAACATACAGTACAAGAAAAAGAAGGAAAGTGAAGCAGACTTCTACCATTTGCTATCGTCTTTGGTGCTAAATCTGTTCATCAGCGTGATTCCCTTCTCACATTGCCTCATTGTATAATAAAACTGTATCACATAATCATCGTTTTGTTCTCTGTAAATTTTCAATTCTGTTGCAAGACTCTAACGCTAGTTCCAGATTGTAATGGTTTACAGAGAAAACGGACGCATGCTCACATTACACAGATATTGACTATTTTAAGGCTACTGCAGTACTTTCAAGGACTGGCGTGTGTCCTCAAACAGCCATACTTCCTCTAATGAGGGTCTATATGACATAGGGTGCGTTTGTGAAAGCAATGAGGTTTTTCTAGCTCCCCCGAAAGTCCAAGTGAGCATTTGTTTCAACCCGCGGTGGGGCTGGGGAGGGCTGCAAGGGCCCCTCTGCCTGAGGGGGAAGGAGCAGCAGAGACACCTTGTGCTGACGGGCTGTGACCCCCATTCCCTGCCCCTGCGCTGCTGGGGGGGAAGAGGGAGCAGAGCTGAGCCCGGGAACACCGGAGGGGTGGAGGGGGGGAGAAGGTGCGTTGTATTTAAGAACCTGGTTGTATCTCTCATTCTCCTTGATGGTGGTGGTTGTTTGTATTAAATGTGTGTTGTTATCCCCAAGTTGAGTCTGTCTTTTGCCCGTGACCATAACTGGTGAGTGAGCCCTCCCTGTCCTTTGTCTCAACCCTCAAGCCCTTTTGGTTTGTCTCCTCCCCATCCCTCA